CCCCCGGCATTACCATCAGTTTGTGTTGTTATTTTCTATAAAATAAATGGAGTATCTGTGGTACTTCAAATAAACACATGTGAAGACTTTTTATTACTTTTTTTTGCAAATCAACAGGTGGTGCCAAAACCAAACGAAGGGCAGCTACAACAAATTATCATTGTAATCTCCACAATAATACTGGTTGTCACCCTGGCCCATATCATTTCCTGTTATAGACTAACCTCGGCCCCCCATCTCAGAAAGGAAAGTTGATGTGGCCCCCACTGAAAAAAGTTTGGGGACCGCTGCTTTAGATGAATAAATCCTTCTCAGACAAGACCACAACCACTAAAACATCTCATGTCCTCTTATTTCTAGCTGGGTAAAGTTTACGGTATCGAGTCCCATGTGCTGTCACCTGCGGAAACCAAGGACCTGTACCCTCTGATGAATGTTGATGATCTGTATGGAACCCTGTATGTACCAAAAGATGGGACCATGGACCCAGCAGGAACCTGCACCACCCTGTCCAGAGCTGCCTCCGCCAGGGGAGCCACGGTAATGTTGACTGGTTGTTTTCTTTTTGGACCATGGATATACTTCATATATTACAGTGGATGTACTCATTTGTTAGTGCAGTCTGATAAACCAAATAAAGATTGGTTACCCTCCAGAAGTTATAGCATACTTAAATTTATTATTTTGAGAATATCAGAATGCATAGTTCTCTGTGCACTTTGCATCATGTTACAGCATGTTAATTGTCATGTATTTTGGTCATTCAGTATACATTCATTTGGCTCTAGCATGTAATTTGTGCTAATTTTCTCTGATGTGTGTGTGTGTGTGTGTGTGTGTGTGTGTGTGTGTGTGTGTGTGTGTGAGAGAGAAAGAGAGAGTGACATAACACAGTAAAAATAGCACACTTAATAGCACCCTTATCTGAACAAGAGAATCTAGTGTAGATACCCATGTCATAACCTTGTGTGCAGCTAAGCATTAATTGCTGATTCAAACAGACCAGGACTTAAATGGCAGTCAGTAAATGCAACGCGTAAAGCCACATTTCTTCTATCTATGACCTGCAGGTTTATGGTGCTCAATGCTGTTGTAGGGCATTTTATGTAAAAGTTACCTCCAGTCTACTGTGTTATTACATTGAGTACAAATTCAGCACAATACAGTAACATTGAGTCTCTCTGTCTCTCTCTTTCTCTCTCGCAAAAATCATGAAAAATCATAACCACCTTGCTTCAAAGGGAAAAGCTATTTCAAACCACTTTGCAGTCTCTCCTTCACTTGCCTTCTCCTTCGCAAAAAGGCAAAACTTTTTTATTTCTTTTTATTTATAAAATGCAGGCTTGAGGCTTTAGTCTGACTTTTTGGCCTCTGAAGGCACCTAATTTATTCAAAAACACTGTTCTAAAAATAACAAAATTGTCTATAATTTTTCTTAAACAATTATGTCACAATTCTTGGAGTACCTTTACATAGCCTTACAATGCTAAAGCCACTTGAAACTTCTAAAAACCATGTGATCTTTGTGTGGCAGACTAACATGCAATTTAGTGTGCTAGTTGCTATCTGAGAATTACCTTACATGTTTATAGCATTGTCAAGAATTTTACATCAGTTCATTGTATAGTAATCTATGAGGATTTATGAAAATGGGAGTATGAAGTGAGAGAAATTGTTTCCATATTGTGTCACACCTCTTTCATAGCAACGTTGGAGAACACAAGGCTACACTTGGGAATAGAAATCTTATCACATGCGCAGTAGGCAGATATTACAAATATTACAAATATTATTTGATTGATTTACTGTACAACTCCTCTGTGCAGTACATACAGTGACCTCTGCAAGGGTGGAGCAGCACACATACAGTATCTCCATGTCACATGTGAATAACTCCTCAATGTCCTCTTTAAATCAGGTGATCGAGAACTGCCCTGTGACTGGTATTCAAGTACGGACAGATGACCTTGGGGTGAAGAGGGTGAAGGCAGTCGAGACCCCTCATGGGACCATTGAGACGCCTTGTGTGGTGAACTGTGCAGGTGAGATTCAGACGAGATCAGCGAACTAATTATCCCAAAGACATAAAAAACCCCTGGGCCGACAAGGATTTTGGTTTTGTTTGAGACGTACAAAAAAACACTGTGCCGTGCACTGTGCACAGTTTGCGATAAGGTAATGTTGATGCAGCTCACGGAGATGTAAAGGAGTGTTAATTGAATGATCTCACTGCTGATGGAAATATGGCAAGTGAAGGAGAGACTGCAAAGTGGTTTGAAATAGCTTTTCCTTAGGAAGCAAGGTGGTTATGATTTTTCATGATTTTTCACTTTTTGTCTGTTTGCTTCGTGCAGGTGTGTGGGCCACCAAGCTGGGGGAAATGGCCGGAGTCAAGGTGCCTCTCATAGCAATGCATCATGCCTACGTAGTGACAGAGAGAATTGAAGGCATACAGGTAAGACCGCCACCTGTCATATCTAAACAGCTTGACTGTGGTTAAAAATATGTTACACTAAAAATAAAAATGAGCATTGGTGCACCGTTGTGTAGGCCCTGGTAGCATGCTGGCAAATGACAAATGACTCAGTTTTTCTGAGTCCAACAATTCTTGTATTGTTGTTAATATAAGACACATTAGAGTTAGCTGTAATCTTCTGTTTTCCATCTGTTTCTGTTTTCCATCTTCAAGGTTGGACTTTTGTTGAAATACACAGATGCCTTAACTTTACTCATGCATTATAATTGTAGAGCTTGGTAATGTAGCTACATTTGCCAGCAAAATAATTGGGAGGTGCCAGATGAAACCGAGTGAGCTGTGTAAAGCCAGGACAAGAGACAAAGCCTTAGGCATCCTGACTGACAGTTCTGATCCTTTATTTTCTCAGTTTAAAGTTCTGAAGGCACCATGGGTGCCTTTGGCAACCAAAACTATTTTAATTAACCAAAATTATTTTTATTCCAAGTGCAATCAGCATTGTTAAAACTGTACAACAAATTTTGCTCTACAGTATCTATGTTATGTTTTAATGTTTCATGCTTTATGCTTATGACATTACCTCAGTGTTTACTTGTTCACTATAGTGAGCCCCAGACTTTTCTCTTAATGGTATCTTGTTGCCACATCTGTTTTTTCACTTGTTTTTACCTTTTCTCATGCTGCTTTTGTGTTTTGGTGAGCCACAACATAACACAACATATTGTATTCTGTTCTATTCTATTCTGTGGCTAATTAGCATAATTTACAATGCATTATTCAGTCTTCGCTATAGACTGTATTATTGTAATTTAGATTTTATTGTTAATTTAATTCCCCCATGGAGACACAAATTCCTTCATCTGTATGTATTAGGTTTATATGACAAACAGGGGGCACTCTGACCACATAAATTTCAGCCTATAATAGCCCAGACTGTTAGGGTGTGTGTGTGTGTGTGTGTGTGTGTGTGTGTGTGTGTGTGTGTGTGTGTGTGTGTGTGTGTGTGTGTGTGTGTGTGTGTGTGTGTGAGAGAGAGAGAGAGAGAGAGAGAGAAAAGGGGATTGTTTTGTTTGTATACATAAATGTTAGTTTTATGTGTGTGTGTGCGTACGTGCGTGTGTGTGTGTGGCCTCTATGTGCAGATTTAACACATGTCTGACATGGCTCCACTGTAACTGTGTGACTGTGAGTCTTGTGTGCTAGATTTAGTTAGTGTACACATGCATAACTGTGCTCATCCTCTACAGGCTGGTGGTTTTAGACGGGCTGTCAGAGCTTCGCTGTGTTATGTAGTTTAAGAGCAGCTTAACCAGCATTACTGCTACATCATGTACACTGACAACAGCCCACACACAAAATGACACACTCACATACTCAGATGCTGTGAGGAAATCTGTTGCTACCAGGGTTTGCAACTTCAGGTCAAACATCAAATGCTGACCGCAGCTGTGTATGTGAATAGATGTGACTTTGCCCTGAAAGGCTGTGGTGCCTTTAAATAAAAAAAAAAAAAAAATAGCCAGCTTGCTGATAGTAACTGGTGTTTGTTTTCATCTGTGTGAATAGATGAAGAACAGAAGGGTTTGCAGCGCTCAGTATTGATCACATGGAGTAAACTGACTGGCTGTATGCCGCACAGAGGAGAGAGGAAAGGAGCAGATTGGCTTTTACTAAATGTAGTGAGTCGTTTTCCAAATGTCAGCTTGTTCACTGGTATTTTGGTTTTGTACACAGAGAGCCAATCGACTTTGGAGTGAAAAACACTCACAACAGAATGAATACAAATGACAAAACATTCTTCAAGTGAAACTATTCATTAGACACTTGTACAAGGTTATTTACCTGGATGTGCAGGATGACTGTTTCCCTCTACTGTGTTTTAAAAAGAAGATTTCATGGTTTGTCAGTTGCTGCGATACCATACCGAGATGGTTTGTTATGGTATGTCATTGTATGTGCCACTGATGCTGTAAAGATTTTAAGGATGTTATGTCCTGTACTGTGTGAAGTACTAAGACACACTGAATACCATGTGAGAATCTGAGTGGTGGCAGATATATTAAGAACCTTTCTTTGTGTCTTGTCCTGTCCTCTAAAACAGAAAATTATTGGACTAATTAATTTTTTTATAATATTTTGAATGCTTCCCCTGTAATCTTCACTCTTTACAGAACATGCCAAATGTCAGGGACCATGATGCATCTGTGTACCTTCGCCTCCAAGGTGACGCCCTGTCTGTGGGTGGCTATGAACAGAACCCCATCTTCTGGGACGAGGTAAGCTTGAATATAGTGTAATGATTAACCATCTCATTCTCTGTCAATAGATTTTCGACTCTGAAACGTCACATATCGACTGTCTGCTTGCCTGAGTGAGAGACATGACGTAATGTCTGTCTTGTTTGACATAAAATCAAATACTTCAATTAGGTAGCTGAAAAAACTTTAATCCTGTTTATATACTTCTCATTCTCTCTGTCAGTGTGACCTCATCTCTTATTTACTCTGTTTTCCTTCCCTGGTCTTCATTACTTACTGCTGCATTAGCTTGGAGGTCAAACTGTATTCATAACAGGACTCATAAACCTCTGTGTGTGTGTGTGTGTGTGTGTGTGCGTGTGCGTGTGCGTGTGTGTGTGTGTGTGTGATTGTGTGTGTGATTGTGTGTGTTCACAGTGGTGGAAGAAGGAATTGAGCTCCTTCATACAAGTGGCAATATTATCATTTTATTCATTACTTTATTGTGTGTGAGGTCCTGCATTCAAAATAAAAGTACAGAGATGGTATCAGCGAAATGTACCATAAAAGAATAGTTCAACATTTTGGGCAATATGTTTATTTGATTTCTTGCCAAAAGTTGAATGAGAAGATTGATACATACAGACTTCTCTGTAGCCAGGAGGCAGCTAGCCTAGCTTAACATAAAGAATGGAAGTAAGGGAAAACAGCTAGCCTAGCTCGCACTAAAGTTATATTGTAAAAGATGCTGGTAGGTATCAGCACCACTGAAGCTCAATAAAGAACAAGTTGTATCTCTTTAATTTAATCCATACAAAAACAAAAAAGTATAGAAACAACAATTTGTGGTTACGTTTTGACAGAGCCAGGCCAGTCATTTCCCCTGTTCCTAGTCTTTGCGCTAAGCTAGGTAGCTGCTGGTTCTAGCTTCATATTTAGAGTACAAAGTTAAGAGTGGTATCAATCCTCTCATCTGAGCCTCGGCAAAGTGAATAAGCATATTCCCCAAAATGTTGAATAATTTGTATGGAGCTGGACTCGGGGTGTGTTTAAATAAGCTTAGCTTGAAGACTGGAGGCCGGGGGTACAGCTAATATGCCTAAAAAAGTGCCTAAAATATGCGTGGTCTAAAGCTGACTTACCTTACTTGTAATGCAAAAAAGGAATAGAACTGAAAACTGAAGTCAAATACTGAATTTTCTTCCATGGCTTGTGTAAAGACATGATTAAAAACTGACTTGAAAAGTTTTTTTTCTTTTTGTTTTTTTTTTTAATTCATATTAAGTTATCAAAAAATGTTGTGTTCTGTTGTCATCCATGATGAAACTCATTACTTGTCTTATTACCTTCACACTAGATATTTCAATTCTAATAGGCAAAATACCAAAGAAGATAAACCCATTGATTTTAATGACAACATAACCATTCTTTTAGCACCACCCACAAACCTTTATATTTTTAGCTTCACTACTGGTGAAATCGCTTTTATTGAAACATTAGAACCAAAGCAAGACTGTAAATGACTGAAATAACAAATTGTGACTCTTTAAAGAGGTGGCTGACTTTGGAGATTGATCTTTATAAAAGCCTTTGAATTGGCAGGTGGTCTTGGAACACAGGTGAAAAACTGGTTTTTAGTGCAGTTTGTTCACCAGTTTGACAGGTTCGGTGGCAGGCCCCTCTTCTCCTTTCCTGTCCTGGAGTTCCACACTTAAAGCTCTTCACTCCTCAGTCACTCCTGTTTGATTTTATTCCTCTATCTGTCCCTCCTTCAAATTTTTTCTCTTACAAAGTATTGTAATCCTGGACCCCTACCATTCACAGACAAGGATTACTATCTGGTCAACCTGTTCATATGTGAAAATGAGCTATAGAAATGCAAATGAAGGATTGCAAAGTGCTGATATCTGATATAATGTAAATAATAAAAAATATATTTAGTCTCAGTTTCTATAAAAGGAGACTTTTTTGCAGGACACTGATAATATCTTCTTGCCTCTGAGTGACTTCATGACTTTCTTTCTTTCCGTCTGGCTGCCTCCCTGTCTACAGACTCCTCAGTGGTTTTACATTTTAGAGGATTTCTTTGTGCAAAAGCAGCTTCTTTTGTTCTCATTCTGCAGCTGAGCGTTGCTTTGATGTCTTGAGGCGGATGGAGGAAGAAAGAGAGGAGATACAGAAAGGAGAATTAGCAGGGAGACGGGGAGAGAATAGAGGATGCCTAGTGAGTGAAGATGAACAGGATCGATGGCTTGGGAGGGATTGAGAGAAGTGGGATGTCTAGGACAAAGAGCACGGCTCCTCAGATACTCCAGTTGAGTGTCAGTGCTCGGTAATAATGCAGAATTCTTTGTTCACATGAAAGCAGCTGCTGTCAGTGCGCACATCCATGTGACGCCCAAGTCTTAATCAAAACTGAAAGCATCACCATTGACGTTCATTGTACAGTCACAGGAGCTCCTTTCAGTATGCCCTTTGCACTTCTGTCTAACTTCAGACTTTTGGCTCAAAGAATTGCTCATATTTAACACATTTACCATTTTAGGCAGTAAGTTGACGCTGTTGTCAGGCGTGATATGGCAGTGACTCCAAAAAGCGCTCTCTGAAAGTAAGAGAATGACTCCTTTTTGTGGGGAGTGGGAGTTGCATTCCACCATCGAGGAGCCGGGATGGAGAGGAGTCAAGTTTGAGTGGAGGGCTGATCAGATCAGTGTCAGGATATAGGGAGAAATGCGTGACTGATTAAAATGGCAGCACAGAGCACAAGCTGGTGTGCTGGACTTTTCGATTTTGAGCACCCTGAGTCAGCCAGATTAGTGTAGGAGGGGAGACTTTTAAAGGCGAGGATGTCTGCGCTTGCTCGGCATGAGTTTTAGGAGCTAAAGGCCGCATTTTGGCCCGGCTGACAAGGAGGGAGTTGCAGAAGTCCAGATGGGAGCAAATTAAAACTTGAGCAAGGACCTGAGAGGGAAGGGTCTGATTTGACAGATGTTGATTCCCTGGTGAGAAAGAGTAGATTCAACAGACTCTTAACAGGATGTGTTGCGGCTGCAGTGTGCACCGCACTCACACACTATCATGTTTTAACTTGGGCTGAAGTGACTAATGTTTTCGTCAACAGTGATGAGGAAGAAAAAGGAAATAGAGCACATCAGTAAATATGACATTTACTTTGCAGTGGTGCACCGGCATTGAACATCCACAAGTCTACTTTGGTAGTGTGGATTAATTTTGTGGGAAATATGAACCAAACAGCCAGAGCTGAGTATTTTTCTGGAATTTCTCTGTGTTCATTTTGGAGAAAGAAAACAAAACAACAGTTACAATTTAAAAAGACACCATTGTCACAGCACTTGGCATTTTAGGTACTGATTTGAATTTTTTCACAATTTCTCCTTCTAATTTTTGGAATGGAAGGTGTTTTTTCTTGTTTATGAAGATCAATGTGTTCTTGCAGCACGATACATAATTTTCTGGGAAACATGAAATCAGTGTGAAAATGAGTCTAGAATTTGAGGTAGTTTTGTAAGACAATGTGTAAAAACAACAGCTTTTTTTTTGACGTGCTTGTGTTTTGGCAGCATTAGAAAACTAAGTACTTGCATATATTTCTGCTTTTAAAGTTACAGGAAATAAGAATGTCATGCATTTGTCTGTGTTTTCTCTCCCAGGTCTCTGATAAGTTTGCCTTCAGTTTGTTTGACCTGGACTGGGATGTGTTCATGCAACATATTGAGGGTGCAATCAACAGAGTCCCTAATCTGGAGCAGACTGGAATCAAGTCCACCGTCTGTGGACCTGGTACACGCGTACAAGCACACATGCACACACCAGCACACACCCACACACGCAGACATACAGCAGTCCCACAGAAAAATCCTACAGGTCCTTCTTGCAAATGTCTTATAACATTATGCATTACAGCAGGGAACAAGCAACTTTAATGACACTTTTTCTAATTTAAAAGTGAAATGTATCCATCTATGATATATCTTATTCACTGCTCCCATACAGCTCTCACTCATGAATACGTAAACTAGCAGGCTATGTTTCATGTTTGTAGAGGAGCTGGTTTGAATAACTCAAGCCTGACTCCTTGTCCAGGCAATATCACGTTGCCATGTTGGTTGAGTGAGCTGATCTGTCGCTGTGCAGCCTGAAGAGTTTCAGTATCAAATGGGATTTTTCATCATCATATTGTGATGCAGCTGAGCTGTTTGGAGTGTGTTTGAGTGAATGATTTTATGAGGTGAAACAAGTGACACCTGAAACAAACTTTGACACAAATGCACACACATATCTAGACAGACGGAAGACAGAAAACAGAGAAATGGAGAAGGAAATCTGAGAAGGACAGAAAGAAAGAGCTATTCATAACATTCATAGAGATATAAAGAGGGAAAGAAAGACAGATGGATAACAACATAAGTAGAGAGATGAAATGTGGAAAAACAATGATGAAGAAAAAATAAAAAGGTCAAATCAATAAAGCTCAGAGCTCGGAGGGAGATGAAACTCGGATAACAAGGAGATACAAATTAGGAGTCTTGACATTGTCATTGTAGGTCTCCCCAGCTGTGACGCTTGCTTTAAGGCAGTTATCGTTTCATTTCAAACGTATATACATGATAAGTACACCACACTGAGCAATTAATATCCATAGTGAGCTTACTGAGCCCTCGACTGTTTCCTTGGTGAGAAAGTGGCAGAATAGAGAAGCACTCTCAACCATGATCCAGGTATTATGAGTACCAAGAGTACCTTTGGTGAGGATAGAGCAAAGAAAAATATAAAAGTGTTGTGGTAATTTCCTTCTTCAAAAAATTGGTTCAGGATTAAGGTTAAGGTTAGCTGTGTTTTCTTTTGTCATTTTCAGCAGGCAGTAGAATATGGCAAGTGACCATCTTCATGTGTACCATAATACACACGTGAGTGTGTGTGCACCATATGGGAGGGAGTGAATGCATGTGTGTATTTTTAACCTGGGTGAATGAAGTACTTGACTTTGGATCTCTCTTTCTTTAAGTTCACTTCAATGGCACAACTATAGCACTCTTATATATTTATGTGCTCACTGGGATCTCTCTCTCTCTCTCTCTCTCTCTCTCTCTCTCTCTCTCTCTGAAGGGTTGACTGACTATAAGACTTGAAAGACAGAGAGGACACATAAATGTCACTGGAGCTTTTACACAAAAAATACAAGTATTCTTATGTACAATGTTTCACCTCAGTGGTTTGTTTGTGTATCCTAAATTTGTTTCCACTGTTACCTACAAAGTTTCTCTCTCTGTCCATTCCGTCAGAATCATTCACAGCAGACCATAAGCCGCTGATGGGAGAAGCACCAGAGGTCAGAGGTTTCTTCCTGGGATGTGGCTTCAACAGTGCTGGTAAGTGCTGTGGGGGCAGAAAGATTGGAAAGGAAGGGGGGGGGGGGCTTTTAGACAAACAAAAGGATAAAAAGGGAGAGAAATGAAGAGTGCATGATGATAAGAGAGAATGTAAAGACATCTCCAGTCAACCTATTAAGTTCACAAACTGTGAAGACTTTGAAATACTTCTTGGTTTAGAGCTTTCCCTTGAGGAAACAATGAAGTGATAGAGCTAGAAAGGTCAGAGGAATTTTCAAAGAAAGTAAATAAACAGGAAGAAAACAAGCAGGGAGAAATGGTCAAAGAGTGTTTTTCCTAGACTTTAACCCACCCTTCATCAATCTCTGTGGATACTCTCAAGATACAAATGAATAATGTAGTGCTTTTGGAGTCCATGGAGGACACACACAAACACATACTCGTACGAACAACAACTCAAGTCATTCCACCGCTTCACTCACAGATGGGCTTACCTCTGACATTAGACGGGGAGGAATGTGAGCATCTCAGCAATTTGAAAAACATGGGTAGAGGGGGTGTAAAGGGTAAAGTAATTGCCATTAGTGTTAACAAACAGTTGAGAGAAAGCTTTTTTTTTTCCTGCATCAGAGCAAATGATTACTGGGTTGAGCACTACAGTTTGACAAATGCTTCGGAGCTGCAGAGAGGTGGAGTCCCTAAGTGACACATGACATTTACATCTACTCTTTTGGCAGATGCTTTTATCCAAAGTGACTTACAAGTGAGGGATAACACTCGAGACCTTGGAGTAAGCACTAAGTACTGAATCTGTTCAATAAGACAAAGCAAAAGTAGACCAAGTAAAGAAGTGCACAGTAAGTGTGTCATTTTAGGGTCTTAGAGGTGTTAGGAGAGGAGGTGCTTTCGAGTTTTGAGTTCAGCTAGATGGGGAAGAATTTAGTCTGTGGGCAAGTGTTAGTGGCTTGAATTTGAATTGGGCAGTTTTGAGGTTGATGATTGATCAAAAAAAAGAAAAAAAAAGAAAAAAATGCTTCAGCCTTTCTATGCAAATAAAAATGCAATGTTCCTATCTAAATGGAGGTAGATAAAATATTGCAGTCCCCCCATTGTCCAGACTGTGTTTTAAAGTGCAATGCTGGGACTAAGCTAATTGAAATGGGCCCAGCATCATTGATATCACACTTGGTAACAGTGCCTTTTTATAATAAGGGATTTTCCACCAGCCATGAATGGTCCAAAAGCCGTCTACATATCTGATGTACATACTTGCACTCCGTGTCTGTCACTCACTCTTCCCCTTGTCTCTATGTCCCTCTAGCATGGGAAAAGTCTTCGGTCCATTTCACTTCATCACACAAAAACACATGCACGCACATAAACCCCCACAGCTTATTTGGCTCAAGGCAAGGCAAGAAACGGGGGATAATTCATAAACCACAGGGTAAAAATCGGTTCACATATAAAAAAAAAAAATCCATCATTGGGTGCTCTGTAACTTTTTAAGCCTCCAGTTGATTTGTTTTACTTGGTGGGGTTCATTTGTGCTTCCAAGCAATGAGTAACTCTTTAATTGCTTTTAACTGCTGCAACTCTTACCCAGCTGCACCACCATCTTGTTCATAATCACAGCCACGAGCACCTTCCCAGGTATTATGGTTAGCTGAGACTTTTTTTTTTTTTTTTAAATCACATTAAAAGGAACAGAAAGTAGCCTGTATTAAGGCAGGACACTATATAGGCTGAGAAAACCATTGGGTTCAGTGGCATGAGATCTTGATGCTTTTTGCGTCACTGACTATCCTCGCAAAAAGCATCAAGATCTCATTCCCGGATCTTGTTACAGTTGCACTTTGGTGGAGGATATAGAGGAGCTGGGCCTGAAACATTCACCTCTTACCAATCACAGTTTTTATAATTTGCAGGTGAAGTAATGTCTAGACCTCAAAGTTACAGTGTTGCTGTTTATTTACAGGTTAAACTAAGGAGGTACACTGTACGATAAATGATGCTGGTAGCCAGCTATTTTTTAAACTTTTGACAGAACAAAGCTGGCTGTTTCCCCGTGCAACCAATCTTTAGAAATCCTGACTCCATCTCCAGACTAAATGTGCAGACATTGGGTTGGTAAAACAATTTTTCAAAACATACCTTTAAATGTAACCGAAGCATCTAGAAAAATTTAATTTGTTAATGTTTTTTGGGTTGACAGTCAGTACGTCGGTACGCACCATTCTTGTGAACATGATAGCTCAGTAAAGCCTTGAGGGTATTTCTTTAAAATTTATGATGAACTGATGACATAAGCAATAACATTTTACATCTGAATGGTCAAAGGTCAGCTGCACTATAATATAATGTTCTGCAAAAACATTTCTGGCCATTATTCAATGCTATACCTCAGGAATTTTTCCTGCAACTTGGCTGGTTGGTGGAGGCATATAACTGCAAACTTGGTAATTCTAGTTCAAACAAATTTGGCACTATGTTTACCTAGATATCTAACTGACTTTGCACATGCAAATCACAAATACATGGTTACTGGGCTGCTATGATAAAGAGGAATTTATACAATTATGTGTGTTTTTTTTCCCTCTTTAAAAGCATCTTTTAAATTGAGTAATAGATTGCTATCACTGTAAATGTGAACGTCAGAAAAGGGGGAGAGAGCAGATATCTAAAGACAATCTGAGGGAAATGCAGAAGAGAGGAGAGGGAATGAAGGATAATGACATCGAAAGGAACAAATGTTTGCACAGCATAAACGAACAATAATAGAGTGAGAAACCGATAGCAAGCACAAAGGCGGAGAGGAGGGGTGACAACATGAGTGGAGGCACGAGCATGAGGGTTCACACGCAGATTCACGCTCACACATCAGTGTGGTTATCTTTGGTGACATTTATCAGTGCCACCTCGCCTTGCTGGTTGTCTCCACAACGTCTTGGGAGAACTTGATTGCCCTCCACCCCCCCCCACCCCCACCCATCTCGCCTTCCTCCCTCTATCTCCTCATCCCTGCACTCATGCATCCATCCATCCATCCCGCCCGCCATTCAAACGTCCACCCAGGCTTGACCCGGAGTGACAGTGGCCGCAGATGAGTGAGGCGATGAGAGATGGAGGGAGAGGGGATGCTGTGAGAGGTGGAGATAGAGGGATGAAGGAGGGATGCAAGGACACACTGGTCGTGCTGCTGCATATTGATGTTGTGCTCGCAGCACATGTAGGAGTGTGTGCGTATATGTACACAGCCATGCACGCACGCGTGCACACACAAGCACGCACGCACGCACACACAGACATATGATATATGCAAATTACCAGCAACACAGCACAAGAAGGGGGTTGCTAAAAGGGAGCAGCTCATTAAGCCAGCAGTTTTGGGACTGAATGGATAAAATATTGAATTGCCAGGGTTTGTTGGTTGGTGGAGTTGAAATAAACAGAATGCTGCAGCCGTTGGTTGCAGCTGATGAGGTCAGATTGCTTAGGGGCAGCTGTGAGCAAGGGTCAAATGATGGAACAAAGGTCAAAACAATCCTCTGTAGGTTGGATGACATATAGAGGCTGTGGCAGAGGACAAACACTCTTCTCTTCTCTTCTCTTCTCTTCTACTCTCTTCTACTCTCTTCTTTTCTCTTCTCTTCTCTTCTCTTCTCTTCCAAAGTAGCGCTTGTGCAGTGGACCCAGTAAACTGTGATAATCGGATTAAAAACTCTGTTTATTCTGCAAATAACAATTATTTTCATTATCAGTTAATTTGCCACTTTTTTTTTTAATTGATTGCTGAATCATTTAATTTATAAAATGTGAATGTCTCTGCCCAAGGTGACGTCTTTTGTTTTGTTCAGATCATCAGTGCAAAATAGTGCTGTCACCTTTGGGAACTGATAATGGACGTATTTCTCTTTTTTCTGCCATTTTGATCAACTAAACAATTATTCAAAAACAGATTTATTGAAAGTGGAAATCATTAGTAATGTAATCCCAATCCAAAACCCAAAGATATTACAATATTAGATAATATTATTATGTTATATATATATATATATATATATATATATTATATATAAAGATAGATAAAAAGCAAATACTCATGTTCACGAAGTTAGAACCAGCAAGCCTTTTATTGATGTTTAATTTGATTAATCAACTAATTTCTTCAGCAGTAGTTAATGGGTTTTCTGTAAGGATTGGGTTGTGATGCTGTTCATAACAGTTTCTGTGTCATCCTTGCTCTTTTTGTGTCAGGTATGATGCTGGGGGGTGGTTGTGGTAGAGAGCTGGCTCACTGGATCATACACGGCCGTCCTGAAAAGGATATGTATGGATACGACATCAGGTACATCAATGCACACAAAAACTGTATAGAAACACATAAAGGTCATGAGCAGTGGCAGATACCACAGAAAGTTTCTGGTGCCACTCTACAAAGCTGAACATGATTTTGACCTTCTGATTTTATCAAAGGGCGGCAGGAACCAGAATAATAATGAAGTTTTAATGAAGTCTGAATGATTGTGACTTTTAATGATCCTTAATCTTTTGAATTCCTCTCCCTCTGGTCTCAGGCGTTTCCATAACTCGCTGACAGACAACAAACACTGGATCAGAGAGAGGAGCCATGAGTCGTATGCTAAAAACTACTCTGTGGTGTTCCCCTTTGATGAGCCGCTGGCCAGCCGAAACATGAGGAAGGACCCTTTCCATCAGGTATGACGAGCGGTTTGATCTCCAGTGCAGACGGTTAAACAGGGTGTTTCTCGAAGAGTTCAATGAAACAACCCTAATGCACTGTATTTCCTATTTGAGTTAGTCAGACGCCTTTCAACTGTAGTTTGATGAGTCATTTTAAGTTGGGCAAGCACAGGTTTAATTCCAAAGAAATCTCTTTTTCTTCTTCTGTACATGTAATAGATATTATGTAATAAACTGTAGAAAGGGAATGAAAAGAACTATGAATGAAAAATTCACAGAGTTAATTACAATTCACACTATTTTCATATTTTAGGGAAATAATGTCTAACAATAACATTAGTAAAAACACAAATGCATAAAATAAGCAAATATAGCCTTTGTTGAGTTATTGTGTGAGGTTGAAGGGTGTTCCTGTTATTTCTTCCATCCTGAATATACAGATAAACATAGTAGGCAGTGTTTGCATTTTCAATGAGCGACGTTAAAAAATTAATACATATTTTTCCTAGATCTGATAAACGTTAAGCCTAACCTTGGCCTTTATTCAAGCACAGTTGGAAAAGCTTTGGCTTTTACTTTCAGTAAAAAAGTGCGGGCAGTGTTGCGAATCTCTGAGGATTTAGAATGACGGACAGTTTTTTGGCTTCTTCATAGCTGATGGGAAAACTTTCTGTGCCCGTATTGACAAGGTTTCCTAACATAGATGAAACAAGTTCACCTCTTTAAGTCGCAGGAGCATCTCCACTGCCGTATATCCTTACCTATATTTTTAGAGGTTGTATGACTTTGCTCCTCTGTCCTTCAGCCAGTCATTCCACTCCCTGTCCTGCTTCCCTCTCTGTATCTAGCCTTCACTCATGTTCCTCTCATCTGATATTCTCTCATTTTGGCAATGTCCCAACACAATTCATCCTACTATCCATACTTAGTTTGTGTTTCTCCCTCTTTCCTGTGTGAGAAAGAAAGAGGTGCCGCTGTTTCTTTCCCTCTATTAGCCTCTTTAACCTCAGTGTCCAATTGGCTAATTGAGACGATAATCTGGTGATGGAGCAAATAAGCATATATGAACGATGCTGCCGAAAAGCTCAGGCTAAACGGGCTTGAACATCTGTGTGTATGACTGTACAGAGAAGACAATGAATAAAGTACATCTAAGTTGCAAGTAGGAATGTAGAACCGACTGTGTGTGTGTTTGTGTGTGTGTGTGTGTGTGTGTGTGCTTTTATGTCTGTCATTATTTTGCCAAGCTAGAAATATTGACCCTGTCTCTCTCAGTATACGTTAGCTCTGTCACCTTCACGTCTTTTCTTTGTCCGTCTGCCCGTCTCTCTCTCCTCGTCTCCTCTACTCAAAACCAGATGGCAGTTTAGCTGTTTTAGCAGTGTAACGTATCCCCAGCAGCTACGTCTATTAAAGTGATCCCTGCCAACATGACTATAAATGATACACTTAGCTTCAGTGGCCTGGTCCTGGATGTCTTTCAGCTTCCTTTCTCTGCTTAGCCTGACACAAGCTCTTAATAGGCCTCGCCACAATATTTTATGCATTAATGACCCACTTAGCCATGCTTTCCTGTTCCAGACTTCATTTACCTTTTAACTGTTGCAATTTCTACCCCCGCTCACGCATGCAGGCATTCCTTCAGAACAGATTACTGTTACACAAATTGCATTAACAGTGTTGTCAGTGTATTTTTGTAGCTCATGTATACAGCTTTCTTAGAGCTCATTATATTTAGCTTCTCTGACACCTTTCATACATAATTAAACAGATTTCCCGAAGGGCCTTTTTTACACTGAATGAGCAGTCAAAAGGCATGAAGGGAGGGTAACTTTTTAAATGTTTTTCAGTTTGTGGACTGCGACCTCACAATGCATTTCACTGATGGAAAATGGCTGTGTAGTTTTGATTAATTACAGTCTGATTTTGTCTTTAGATTACAGAAAAACAAGCGAAAACAAATATCCATGTGAAAAACCGACTATAAATACCATTTGTAGTGCAAACAATGTAGTTTATCTCTTTATTGTTCTCTTTGGTCCTCTGAAGGTGCTCTCAAGGTGCATTATCAGCAGCTCATCCCTGTTTTCTCCTCCCATTAAAAAAATATAAAGAAGGATAAAAGAAAGCAAGTACTGCAAGTCAGATAGTCATTATAATACAAATATGTACAATGTGCAACATTAATGGTGGAATGTCCAATAGTTACAGTATGAAAAATTAAAAGAACATTTTTTTTTGTTTTTGGCAAAAAAAAAAAGTATTTAATTCACAATGAGTCAATTCATGAATCCTAGGACACCTGTCTTCAGAGCAACATACCACTGACGTATGCTGCGTGTCATAACACCCACACCATATTTTTTTCCATGTGTAAGACCACAGATTGGCAGCATCCTACTGCCATTGGCCATGACAGCTCTCCAGAAATGCAACTGTTTTGTCACATTCGCGCTCCCATATCAGTACATTATGGCACTGTTTGATGCGGTGTGTCCTTAATCTTCATGATAACAAGTGCAATGGTCATTGTAATTATGGCATCAGATTTCATGCTTGCCAGCTACAGTACGGAGCACTGAAAAGACACTGCTCTCAGGTAGCCAGACTGTACCTCGAAGCAGAGCACAGTCCCTGTGAGACTGGGTTGGTCCAACCCTCAGCTGCAAGCCCATTAGAGCCCTGCTAATCACTTGTCGAGGGCCATCACCTAGCAACCAGCCTTCCTGCTGTTGGAGAGCCTCAGATAAATTTAGGGATGGCAGAGCGAAGAAGGGAAAACACTGGAAAAGTCTAATTATTATTTTTTAAATGAGCTTTTGTTCACGATACTGGCTCTTGCTCCTAATCATGACAACATGTATTATGGCTAAGAGGTACTTAAGGGGTTTGATTGGCCAGGGAAGCTGTCCTTGTGCAAGTAATGAGACTGTCTACTTTTAGGAGGCAATACAAGCTTATTTCAGAGCACAAACAGGCCATCTCTGACATTGCTGCTCACACGTTTTCTCCACCTCGGTAGCACTGATGGTAAATATAGCTCAGTGTGGGAAGTTTTGGCAAGAGACAGCTAGCTGCCTGCTAGGAGGAGAGCATAGCAGAACATACCTACTAACTGTGGGCGACTGTCAATTTTAACAAGGAGGATGGTGAGCACTGAAATATCTTATTTCAACACTGTTCGAAAGATCAAGAATTAACAAGCATACTATATTTGCAACAGTTTGGGCTAAAAGAGGGTCTTACTTACACTTATCATCAATTCCTCCCATGTAGAATTGATTTTTAATATTTAGGCAAGTTAATTTGTTGCTCATTGTGTTATATTGTAATGGGTTTTAAAGCTGCGCTAATATTATCTTTCAAAAAGCTCTGATAAACCAACTGTACACTGCCTGCCTTGCACCAAAGGGGCGGACAGACAGAGTTAGCAACTTGATGGTGAGCTTAAAGAGCCAGGTCATTTTCTCAGTGGATGGCAGAGATCAAAACAGAGCTAAAAGGAGGCCAGACTCCACGACTCCAAATAAATGCTAATGTTGCTCTGTGTGTGTTTGATGTGTTATAGGCAACTATTTGGTAGCAAGTTCACAATAACAACTTTACAGGGTGATAATATGTCGGTGTCGTAGTTACAGCTTGTTCTGCTGCCCCCAAGTGGCCACAAGAAATCAATTGGTGTTGCTATAAATATTCAAAAACAGCAACCCAAATGCTCCTGAGCAAGACTTAACGTGTGGTTGCTCTGTCAGTGGATGTTTTCAATTAATGTTAATGTTCATGTTGCTTAATAGGAGAATTCATTTATGGTGATACAAAATTGTGAATATGTGCCTTTTAAATAAAATAAAAAGAATACCCATTTGTGCAATTGTGTAAACATTCTCATGTTTGTGTACTTCCTGTACTGATTTAACCTCTGTGTGTGTGTGTGTTTGTTTGTTTGTTTGTTTGTTTGTTTGTTGGTTGGTTGTAGGTGCTGACGGAGCAGGGCTGTGTATTCCAGGAGAGACATGGCTGGGAGAGACCTGGCTGGTTCAACAAAGAAGGGCCTGCTCCTGTGAGATACATTTACACCAAACACACACACACATACTGTGCACAAGCACATTCTCGCAAATGATTTATTTTCATCCACATATTGACAACTGGCATTTGGAAAGACATAAACAATTAAGATGCTAATTTTCTCACAAGGCTAGCTGGATAGAAACTGCTGGAACAGGCTGACTGCCAATAATGGGCGACCCTGACACAGTATCAAGCCCAGTGCTTTATCCTTTCTCTATAGTTGAGAAACAATAATGATTAATTAGCCTCTAACCGTTTGTTTTCCTGTGTTCTTGTAAAGGTTAAAGACTATGATTACTATGGAGCTTATGACATGAAGAAGAATGTGAACTACAAATACAACGAACTGCTGGGGAAAGAGTATACTTTTGACTTCCCTCCACATCACGACGTGGTAAGCGTAAGACACCAAGTGCAGAAGTGTGTCTGACCATGTGTGTGACTGAGTAGAGCAGCGTTCATTAAATTGCATGCAGCTTTCCTCTTTTGTCAGACCACAATGGGCCAAATAATTTAGGGTGAACAGATGAGTATGAACACGCTCTGCGGGCTCCCATGAGGCAAGGGAGCACGTGTCCTCATGAGAAATAATGGCCATGGACATGGTGCTCAACACCAGCATCAGACTAAATCAGCAGCTTGGAGGACACACCACAAAAAGAGAATGATCAATGTTGACGTCAAAACCTTGCTATTATTTTTCTCTTTAATTTCACTGCTGTGATGAATGCTGCCTCCAAGGAGCCGACTCCAAAGATATAGTCATCTTAGAAATGTCACAGACAGAGAATGTCAGGGTCTGTGGTCTGTGTTAATTGGTTGTCTTTGTTGTGATTTTTTTTAATTTTTTTTTATACACACTAATTGCAGATTAAGAGTGAGTGCCTGTCATGTAGACACGGTGTGGCCGTGTTTGACATGTCCTACTTTGGAAAGTTCTATCTCACTGGACCAGATGCCAAGAAGGCGGCTGATTGGCTGTTCACTGCTGATGTCAACAAGAAGCCAGGTCAGTCGGACTGCTACTTACGCAAACACACGCACAAATGCCTAGACACACACAGATGGGAGAAAAAATCGACAGAATGAATAGGACAGATACATGGACAGAGGGACTAAACAAGATGCCAACACATGAGAAAAACAGTTCTAAGTGTATAGTCTCTCAGAGGTGCTGGTGAAAGTGGCGGCAGCAGAGTCCTCATTGCCTAATTTTTTTTTTTTTTTTTGTAACTTTAAAACCAGAAAATTGACAGCCGGATGTGTAGGGGAGAGCTCCTAATGCTCTGGATACCTTTTTCTCCACTTTCATCATATTCCCACTTCTTTGGTTGTCCCTGTTTACTGCTGAACAGGATAGATCACCTCTGTGTTGACGGCGATGTCCTGTAGAGCTCTGAACAAATGCTGCCTGGGACACACACATATATATATAGTTTACATTTAGGCCTCTTTGTGTAGGATTTGAAGACATCTGACTTTGGAAATACCCAGTAGTTAAACCCCATGAGAGAATCAGGAAAAAAAGGAAAAAAAGATTAAAAAAAGGAAAAAAAATACCTGGCTAGGGTTATGTGTGTACAAACATATATAGGCTACAATGATAGGATGTAGGATCCAGCAATGTTAAAGCGTTGTATACTTGGGAGATTACGGTCTATACCTGCTCTCTATGAAAAGTGCCTTGAGATAACTTATGTTGTGATTTTTTTTATTTTTTTATTTATAAATAAAAATTGACGTGACTTGACTAAGGAAGTCAGGATATCTTTGTCTCTGCTTCATCAGTTTTGACCATAAATCTTCAGTCTTTCTCTTGTTAGACAAATTAGAAACCTACAGTAATTCAAGTGCAATACTCACTTGCTGGAATAATCCCTTAAAAGAGTGCTCCACCAATTTATAATTGCACTCACGTTACAATGTCAGACTGACTATGGAAACTTGGTGCCACTAGCCTCAAGTAGAGAGGAGGAGCGAGCTGCAGGGGTCTGGTAAGTTCACTTCTTTCCAACTTCACAGCCTCAGATTTATTTTTTCTTTATTTAAAACTTAAAACTTCTTCAGACCCAACAGAGGCTCACTCAAGTGACATCACTTGAGGCAATTTATCAGCCCTCCCGCAGGTCCCTCTGGAGCCACAAAAAACTTCATATACGCAGTAGTTCTCCCTAAGTTCTTAAAACAGACTCTGACTGTGTAAAGTCCTCTATAAGCTTGTACAGCTGGTGTACAGGAAATCAGGAAATTCATTTTCTGTAGCCTCTTGATTGATTTCTTGTGCTAATATCTACTTCAACTTTATTATCCGCCATTCTCTGAGATCACCAGCTCTCACTCCAACTGCTGTGTGAAGGTAGCTTCACAAAAAACTTGGCTTTTTCAGCATGATAGATGACGCATCATCCGACCTTGCTCTTTGTCTTTTTTTCCTCTTCTCTCTCTTTCTCACTTCCAATTCTTAATATACCGCAGTTACAGGGGCAGTTCTTGCTCTGAGAATATTTCATGTCCCAGGAGGCAAACTTATGCTCCGCTGACATATTGAGACACAATTTTCTTTAATACCTGTGACAGATTGAAACTGTATCATCAATTATTCAGTCAAATGAGAGATGACTGAGGGACAGTCACATATTAGCATGTCACTGCAGCCACCAGCTCCTTCGGCCAATGGATGACAGACATGGCATCATTTTATGTCTCTTGTAATTAGACACAGACTTCATTCATTAGTAAATTATTTTGAGGATGTCTTCATTATGAATATCTTTGTTAAGTGATGCTCTCAGCAGTCATTACAGTTTTTAATGGGGTTCATATTTCAGCCGTTTCCTTGGTAACTATTATAAGAAAGACATGGTTCACGTGTCGTCAGGGCGCGTGTACTCCCTGGAGGCAGAGACTGAAAATTGATTGCCCCTTAAAAACAACAAAGTTGTGGAAGTAGTGTAAGTACACTTGAGGTTATTAAGAATTTATACTTAATCACACATGTGGTGCAGGAAAGCTCACAAAACAGAGAGAAACCAGACTGCTCAAATAGAATCAGTTACAAACAGAAGATTGACCTCAGATTTGGGTTCATTGTTTATTTCCAGATTTCTGTCGACGCAGTTCCAAGAGACTGCACACTTTAAATTGGCCTACAAATTATGCCGCAAGGATTAATTGTTTATGTGTGTGTTTCAGGCTCCACTGTGTATACCTGCATGCTGAATAAAAGAGGAGGGGCGGAGGCTGACCTGACAGTGAGCAGACTGGAGCCTGGTGCTGCCAACCTGCCCCTGGCACCAGAATCCAATGGTGAGAAACAGTGTGTGTGTGTGTGTGTGTGTGTGTGTGTGTGGGTGTGTGTGTCTGTGTGTGTCTGTGTGTGTGGGTGTGCTGTTTTCATGTTTATCTGATATATTGTTTTATCTGCTGTGCTGTATGTTATCCATTCTTCTGTTTGTCATTCTTTCACTGTTTTTAACCTTTGTGTTTTATTTCCTGTTGGATATATCTGTCATTCTGTTGTACAGTGTATCTTATTTTAGATTTATTGTTGTTTTGCTCTGTCCTGTTTATTGTTCTGTCTCCCAGTTTATCTATCAGTACTGTGGTATTTATCATTCTGTTCTTCTACCCATTATTCCTCTGTTCATTCTGTTTCTCTCAATCATGTACCATTCTTCTCTATTTTCTCTGAATTTCCGTCAATCATTTACCTACTTTTCTATCTTTTTTCCCATCCACCAGTTTTTTCATCATTTTCAATTTGCATAAAAACAGAAAAGCACTGACACAAGAAACACAACAAAATTTGTAACTAAGCAGCCAAAATATTGAAAAAAAGAAATTGTTATGTTTGGCTGTGGTGGAAAAGCTGACATATGAAAAGAGAGAGAAGATTTTACATGTAGTTTTTTACATACTAACCTCTGTCCTTATTTGTTTAGTTGTAATTTTTTGTAGCCGTGCTGTGTCTGTTGTTGCCAATTTGTCGTTTAACTTAAACCTTTTCTGCCAGTTGTTCTACTTGTCTGATCCGTTATTGTTTCTGTCTCACTCCCCGTAATCGTTTCTTTCCTCTCCTGCCTTCGCTCCAGGCGATGCGTACTACCTGGCCATCGGGGGTGGTGTCGCAGAACACAACTGGAACCACATTAGAACAGTTCTTCAGGACCAAGATTTCCGCTGCCAGCTGACAGACCACTCTGAGGACATGGGGATGATCAGCATCCAGGGGCCGAAGAGGTGGGGAAAAGGAAAAAGAAAAAAGGGAGGGAAGGAGGCTGTGAATGAATGGAGACATTGCCATCATTTATGTGTCCAAGTGAGAAAAGGACAAAAGGAGTGAGTGAGGGCGAAGAGCGGGGGAAGAGGAGAGGAGAAAAGAAGGTAACTGATTGGTCTAAAGATGGGTTATGATTCACATCCTGGACACAGGAGGTGGGGAAAGTGAAAAGACGAGCTGTTGGATCGATAAGAGGAGAGCAGGTTAAGTGGCTATTCTCCAGACTTGGCCATAGGCATAAGAGGTGCAGGGACAGAGGTGGACTGAAAACAGCAGACAGAAACGGGGAGGTTCAAGATTAATTCTGCACTTTAATGTTGCCATCGGCTGTTCCATGATGCTGTGAACTCTTCTGTTAAATTCAATTTACATCTGCTTTTCATCTTCGTGAGCGATGATGATAAAGATTTCCCAGAGCAGTTGTGCTTTCAGTCTCAACGCTTGAGAGGGTTTAAATAGATGCACCTGGCGGGACCTGGAACTGTCATCTAAATCTAGTAGGACCCATCCTTTTTTAAAAACATTCAAAGCATCATGGAAACAAGAGCAACTTTGACTTCTCAATGGACATATGGTGTGGTTGACTGGATGCTAGGATCTAAAACCTAGTGGTTCAAATGGACCGGAATTGGGAAAAAAAACTGATCTCTAGTCTGAATCCAGCTCCAAACATGGATTAAACTCACTTCTTTTGTAATGTTATATTTTTGCTGTAGCTATAGCATTACTATTGCATACTATAACCTCACAGTAGATACTGGTAAAATTCGAGCAGGAGCTCTGGTTCTCTCAGCGTTCCACATGATAATAGAGCGTAACTTGATTCATTCAATTTTCATGATAAAGGTAATCCTATAGAAGCACGTCTCTTCACCTTCACCGTCTGCCATGTTGATTCCCCAGTGTAAACACTGCAGTGACTTTGAAGGACTAAAAGTCAGATACTCTGTTTAGCAAATATATAACATTTGTGTTGGGTCTCAGGAAATTATACGGGGCCACCAGGGATTAAGTTGCGACAGCAGTCCGCTCTATGAATGCCATCAAAGCACTGGGTTCATGTGTGAAAGTAGTATGTATGTAGCTGCATGTGCCTTTGGAACTGTGGTACAGTAGGACCAGGACTGACACTAAAAATGATCGTTTTCTTGATTTATCAATGAATCATTCGATCTATAAAATGATGAACAATCTCAAGTTAATGTCCTCAGATGTCTTGACTCAGTTTATTATCACATAAGATACAGAAAAGCCATGAATCCTCACAATTTAGCTTGAACTCGTGAATGTTTGGTATTTTTGCTTAAAAATTATTTCAGTTGATTATGAACATTTTTGCCAATAATGTCTGTCTTGGTTGAGTAGTAAATTAATCGATTTGTCAAGCAACAAGTAATAATCATTTCAGCACTCGTCTGGACCCGGTTTGGGTCAAGTAGGGTTTGGTCCTACTGGTGCCAACATTTGGAAAGGGCTAGATGTTTGCCTTGTGAAATGCATCACTACTCTTGGTGGTCTTGTTTAAATCAAAGGCTGTTGTAAAATGTAGGTCATTCAGATATATTGCTTCACTTCCTTCTTCACATCTTCTTCATTTTTCTCTCATCTCTAGTTTTGTGGTTTTGCGATTCTTGTGATTTTTGTCTGAAAATGTCTGTAACTCTACAATCAATGTATGTATGTAACCTGTCACAGTATTCCATTTTTTCATCCATCAGAACATTCATCCATTGATTTCTTCATCTAGGGATTAGAAACCATGTGTTGCTCAGGTGAAAATCGTATTTCACATTTGGGCATAGGAGGGAAGTCCAAGCTTGTCACTTTCTTCTTGCTTCCCACAGTTTTCCTTTGTTCTTCACTCAGAGGGCGAGCCGGGCCACCTTTACCTCTTCCCGATCTCATTCTCTGAACTCATGATCCATTTTTTTCTTTCTCTCTCACCTCCTCTCCTCCCCACCTCACCGCCCTCCGTCTTTGTTCTTCCCTCTTACCAGCAGCAGGGTTGGGCCACTCTGTTCTCTGTGTGGGCAGCGTCGATTTCTTCTCCTTTAGGCTTTTCTCATCTCCTGTTCTCTTAAGTTTTCTTTTCTCTCAAGTCCTTACGTCTCTGTCGATCTTATCCAGCTCTTTCCTTACTCTCCTCTCCCCACTCCTCCCTTTTTGCTCTGTCGCCTCTTCTCAGTTTCCTCTTCACCTTTTTTTTCATGTTTCTATCCCTCTTGCTTTTGTTGCTTACGCCAAACAAGAAATTAGTGCGTCACTAGCAGCGGTAGTCCTGTGTGTGTGTGTGTGTGTGTGTGTGTGTGTGTGTGTGTGTGTGTGTGTCATTATAGAGACACACACACACACACAAAAGGATGTTGATTATAGAGCTCATTGAGTTTTCTTGAGCATCCAAAGTGCACTCAGCTTCTGTCTGTGTTTGCGTCTTTGGATGTGGTGGTGTGTGTGTGTGTGTGTGTGTGTGTGTGTGTGTGTGTGTGTGTGTGTGTGTGTGAGAATAATATAAACAAGATTGGCATCCCTCTGCACAGCACTGTAATGATTCTCAGCTCCTCCTGATTGTTTCTGCCTCATATGAGGAACTGCAGAAAATCAGCCCTCCAATGTTTGGGTCTTATGAAGTAAATGGATCTCTTTAAAGCTTGAGGAGAGAGAAAATTACAGCATTTATTGAAATGCATTTCTCTGTGTTTTCCTATCCAGAAATGTGTCATTCAAATTCTGTGGAGAGGGGAGTCACTGAACTCGCAGACTCTCTCGCATGCAGCTTGGCAGCTTGTTCCAAAAGGGGAAACTGGTGCTTGCACTGCTTGCTATATTATGAACCTTATTTATAATATATGAAATGATGTGATATCCTGTAAGAGAGCCATGTGTGTATATGTGTGTATGTGTGTATGTGTGTATGTCCATCCTCTGATCCACAACTGAGAGCCACATTTAAGTGGCAAGTCAGAGAAACAAATTGATGGTTGCAAGACCCCTTTAGCACACACACACACACACACACACACACACACACACACACACACACACACACACACACACACACACACACACACACACACACACACGGAGCCATTCACTGATTATATGTAGCTAATTGGCCTCGCTCTTGGCCTCTGGAGTTCAGTGAACAAAACCTTGCTTGAGGGAGGACAGAAACTGGAGGACATCCTGAAGAGAATATCCGCCTGTGCATCATCCCCATATGCATGCCTGCACATGTGCATACATGCAAGAAATGTTTTATTCACATATAGGAATATACCCGCATACACACATTTCTGCATCCAACTGCAGCCACATCAATTGTTTTTTAGATAAAAAAAAAAAAAAGGACACCCACACAGATGCACACACAAACGTAACCTGAACCCTTCCCCAAATATACTCAACCCTGGCTCCCTGCCACACTGCTGCAAAAATATCTCTCACGTATTGTATTCTCTACCTGCCCACTCACAAACATACAAGTAGCAAAGTAAGCTAAACTTAGTTCTTTTTTTTTTCTGTTGACTCATCTTTATGTAATATTGATTTTAGAGTGTGTGTGTGTGTGTCTGTTTGTGAGAGGAGAGATGGTCCATTTTTACAGCAAATATAACAAGTTGTGCTGAAGTTTTGTTGTAATTTTTCCTTTAAATACTTCAGATTTAGATTAAAAAAGAAAAAAAAAAAACTATTTTCTTTATATGTCCAGTATTACTTGTGATGTGAGAAACACACCAGTTCCATAAGTGCAAGTGTAAAAAATGTATTGACCGATTTTAAATAACTGGCACAGTTTCTGTGTTTTCTCTCTCTGTGCAGTCGAGAGGTTCTGCAGGAGGTGTTGGACACAGACCTGAGCAACGAAGCTTTCCCTTTCTCTAGCCACAAAGTTGTCAATGCAGCAGGACATCAGGTAAGAACACACACACACACACACACACACTCACTCACACTTGCTTGGTGCAACTAATTTCTACAGTAATTGGATGTGGTATGTTTGTCAGCTTCAAAATAACCCTGTCAGTGCTTGCTAAATAAAAAAAATTCAATTAATTAAGAAATATTTCTATGCAAATCACACGCTGTTGAGTGAAACTGGTTTATTATTTCAAAGGTTCAGTCAACAGAGATCATAGACTGCGTGTGTGGGACAGATGGCATGTCTCAAGGCATCGTTGTGACTTAGATGTCAAGTTTGTCCACATTTTTTCTGTCTCTCTACCTCTTTCCGCCTTCTACCCCTCTCCATTTCTTCCCCTGAGGTCCAGCAACTCAAAACTCGACAACAAAGTTTATTGTGCTGCTGTTTGCAAGCATTGGGGAAATCATATATTTATACATTTACAATAACACTAACAATAATGCTGCAAGGTTGTGTAGCCTCGGCTTCTCGACTTGCACTCTACAGCGTCTCTGACCTCGGATCAAAGAGCATGTAGTACCGCAGCACATGCAGCAACACATGTGTCCACACACACTCGACTCGCTCTGTTTTAGTTGCTCTTGCATGAATTATGCAACGCTCCAGTGATTGCAGTCAGCGTCTTCTCGCAGCTCTGCGGTAGTGTTTGTGCGTGCGTGTGCGTGTGCGAATTGCTTGTGCTGTGTTCCAGCTGGTTGCTGGCCTTGTCTGGGTGACATTTTAATGGCTGCACTGCTGCGAGAACAGAGCTCTCTCTCTGCCCTCTGCTCCCCTCAAAGCTCATTAGACTCTCCCTCTCTCCCCCTCTCTCTCCCTCTCTCTCTCCCTCTCTCTCTTGCCAGTTTAAGCAAGTGTGCTGGCCCGCGTGCTAGATCCTGTGATTCCATGTTTATATGCATTTTTGTGCTTGTGTCTGTGCTGTGTGTGTCTGTGTTTGATGTTTGCCTGCTAAATCTGTGAGTGACAGCGTGCATGAGGCGTCCGTGTGTTTCTGTGTGTTCAAGTTTGTCACCTGTGTATCCGGTGGAGTGTGTGTTGTGAACAAGCGCAGGCTTACATGTACTGTCCTCCCCAGAGTTTCATGGTGTACATATGGGGCTCAGGGTGATCCCTGGCTGGCCAGATGGCCTGGCTGTCACAGCACCCCACTGGGGAAACTGTTGGAAAGAGTTTTTTTTTTTCCTCCTCATTTTTCACTCCCTTCCACATCCTCACTTTCCTTTTTCCTCTTCTCCTTAGTTTCCTCTCGTCCTTCACGTATATGTTTTGCATCCTACCCATTCTGGTGCTTTTCAACCTGTTATTCTCATTCTATTGTGACTATATAACAGCCTGACTGATACAGGAAAACTTTACATTCAACAGAAATAATCTCAAACCCTAATCTTTAGTTTTTATAATTAAAAAGAGGCCGTCCTTGTAGCTGTTGCTGCATACTGCATGACATGGCGAATCCTCCTCTTGCCATCATGCTGGCTGACTTCTCTGCCATGTTAATGTGTATATGCCGGTTGTGAGTGAAGCAGTGGAATGCTATAGCTTGTTGTATGCATGCTAGGAAAAAAAACCCAATAAGGTAGTTTGTGTCTTACAAAAAATAAAAAGACAACATATGCTCTGTGTACCTGTCTTTTCATCCATTCCCACTATAGGACAGAGAGAGGCTGTGTTTGTGGGTAATTATTCTATAGCTGCTCGGCAGTTCGCTACAGGGGTTTCCAGGGGGACTGCTTTCTGTGTTTAGTTTCTTGCGGAAAGACAAGTTTTTGAGATGCATGTCTCAGTCCTTCTCTACCTCTTTTCTCATCCTGTTTTTCTGTTCTATTTTCTCTATCGCCTCACCTCCCTCCTTTCTCTCCTTCCATCATTTTCACCTCTCACCTCAAGAAGTGTTTTTGTAATCTCTTTCAGGACTGAAAGCACTTTGGACATAACATTCTTTTCTAAAAAAAAAAAAAAGAAGGAGATTACGGTTTCCCTGTCTCCTCCATTTTGCACCTTATCTTATCCTTGCATCTATTCTATTTTCATTATTTTCTGCCCCTTTCTGGCTGTTTGCTTCTCTCCTTTCTTCAGCAGCAGCAGCATTTGGAAAAATGCATGACAAGTAAATCTGGTCCTTGAAAATGATGTGTGTGTGTTTGTGTGTGCACAGAAGCAGAGGTGTGGTAGCTTGGTCCTCTGCATGCCCTCCCTCAGTTCTCTAAGCCTCGTCTCTACCTCCTCTCGTCCAGGTGCGAGCTATGCGTCTGTCATTTGTCGGCGAGCTCGGCTGGGAGCTGCATATTCCAAAAGACTCTTGCCTTCCGGTCTACCATGCCGTCATGGCTGCTGGGGCAAAGCACAGCATTATCAACTCAGGCTACAGGGCCATCGACTCGCTCAGCATAGAGAAAGGTAACTTTCAATAAGAGGTTATAAAAAAACAAAACACTCCATCATCCAAATCCATCTCAAGGTTACAGGTTTACTGAAATGTAGCTAGTGAATGAAACAAATGAATTTGGTTTGACAGTGATATTAATGCAAGATCATCCCACGTTTTTGCTCACATCTCCATGTTCAGTGATTTTTGCTCTTTATCTCCTCCCCTCTTTATCAGGGTACAGACACTGGCACGCTGACCTTCGCCCAGACGACACACCCTTGGAGTCGGGGCTAGCCTTCACCTGCAAACTCAAGAGTTCGATCCCGTTCCAGGGCCGTGATAGGCTGGAGAAACAGAAGGAGGAGGGTCTGAGGAGGCGCATCGTCTGCTTCACCATTGACGAGTCAGTAAAAGCGTCTGTTGTGAGATTATGTGTTGGCCAGAAAGAAATCAGTGAAGTGAACCAAATCGTTTTTAAGACAACAGAAAATTCAAACATTGTAGGAAATTTCAGAAGACTCAGAAAACAAAACGAAAGAAAGCTTCCAATGGTGAGGCCACTTTTTCCACAAATGGATTCCTACCTATAACTGAGAACAGAAGCTTTAATATTAATGCATCTGCCAAATGTTCAGTGAGTACATGTAAAACTCATTTAAAAAGGACCATGTTTATGGTTTCAATACCTGAGCCACAGATGTACTGGGTAACAGGATGGAGAAGCAGTTTAATGGAACATTACTAAATCTCCCTACTGTGATTTTTCTTTTCAGACATTTTACATGCTAATTTTTTTAAATAGCAAATACAAACCGAAATTTCAGAAACATTTGTGGTTTTCTGTTCTGATTTTTGTACGTATAAACGTATAAAACATTAATGATATTTCACCATTTCATCGCTGTCCAGTGGAAATCTAACTAAATCAAAAATCCTAGTTTGGTGATTATTAATATTTAATAGTCAGCTGGGGGATTACCTCCTCTAATGGAGGAATCTCATTTTGAAGATGCAGGTTTACTCGACAACAAGCGATTTGCTATCGTGAAAACGTTGCTTTCTTTATGTGAAGCAAATGTCATTAATGTTGTTCATCTGCTGTACGAGCCTGAGGGTCATGATCACTGTGAATGTGTGTGGTTGTGTTTTATATATTTATAGAGTGTGTGCAGGAGAAAGGTGACGGTGTTATAGTGTAGTCTAACATCAGATTAAACTTGGAGTAAATTAGTTAATTTTGTGAGTGTGTGAAGGAAACGGGGCACATATGGTCTGTGTTTGAATGCAATTAGATTGTCATTTCTCTCTCTCTCTCTCTCTCTCTCTCTCTCTTAAAGGAAAGTACCCATGTTCGGTCTGGAGGCCATTTTCCGCAACGGAGTACCTGTTGGTCACCTGCGGCGTTCCGACTACGGCTTCTTTATTGACAAAACTATTGGTTATGGATATATCCGCAACCCTGATGGAGGCGTGGTAATGTTCACTTTTGTTTTCTGTTGTTTGTCATTCGGTCTCACACTCACCCTCAGTTTTCACCAGCAGGGTTCAAGTATGTGAGCTGCTAGGTGCATCAGTCAGTCATCAGTGTTTTTGTGTGTTGCTCTCCTGATGATGATGATGATGATAATACAGACGCACACACCATAACATATGGCGGAGCGTCAGACAGAAGGGCGGGAGCGGCAAGAGAGACACAATGTTATTGGTTGAAGTCGTGTAATGAAAGGCTAGAAAATTTCTTTAAATTCTGAAAAACTACAACAATCCTTCAGTGATTTGTCTTGTATTTAGTTCTGTATCTCAGAGCAGGTGCTCAATAGACACACCTACTGTGCGTGGATGTGTGTATATACGTGTGTGCGTGCGTGTGCTCATGCTGATTGGCCCCTCGGATTTTGTCGAGCACTTCGGTTTGGAAAAGCACAAACATTACACAAATACTTAACTCTAACTTAATGTTGCTCTGCTTGCTACTGCAACCAACAAGCTAACAATCGCATGTAGGTTTTTATGATGGGCGGATTAATTAGTCACCACATTTGATTGGATACATCTATGTATAACGCCCCCGAGTTTTTTTTATTTTAAATATATTTGCCTTGTACTAAGAGATAACAGAGGAATTAGCACAGGGACACAGGATTAGAACTTGGAAAGTGTATTTTTAATTCACTGGCTTTTCACTTTGATGACTTAATCTAAAGCAGGGCTTCCCAAAGTGGGGGCCGCTGTGATTTGAGCCCCAGGTAATAATCGAATAAAAAGTAAACGAACATTTAATTTGTTTTTAGAAAGTTAATGAACACCAGTGCACAGTGTGAACTGCATTATCCATAACAAGTAAGACTGTGCTGTGCAAAGCAGGGGACGCCTTCTTCTTGCAGGATGTCACATTTTAAGTAATTGTAGTAACAGTAGAGGCTGTTCATGATTTGTAACGGATTTTCTTTTGGTTAAAATGAATAGGCACGCTGACATTTCATCATGTTGGGATTTATATATCGAATGAACTTTAGAAACCCAATATCAATGTGTTTCTCACAAGATGACAGTGACAGTAGCAGCATCCTGCAGGGTTTCCATTAAAAACAGACATACAGCCAGATTCAAGTAAATCTGGATCTTAACTGGACTTTGGTCTTACATCATTGCAGTGTATAAAGTGGTTGTCCATATATACCGAGACAAGGGTGTCAATGTCCTTGCTGGCGTGTCTTTGCTGTCATGTCATAAGGCTGTAGATGTTTTAAGGTGGAATGACAGCAGCTTTGTTCCTGAATAAGGTTGTCAGTTGGTTAGAGTCTTTGACTACAGTGCTGTTCCCTTTAAAGCCTTCAACATGGAAATAGTAAAAACTAAGTGGTGATGAAGTGATGAAAGAGAGAGTTGTGTGTGTGTGTGTGTGTGTGTGTGTGTGGTGTGTGTGTGTGTGTGAAAGACAGACAGAGTGACAGTCCTCTTTGAGAGCTGCGGGAGGGAAAAGGGAGTCAGTCAGTGAAAATTAGCTCCCTGTGTTACGAGGGAGCTGATGTTGACTCATGAGTGAATAAATTGCTTTCAGTGTTTTATAACTGCTGAGTTCTCTGACTTCTCCTTATAATATGAACGCAGTGAAATTGTCCGTTCTTGATTGCTGTGCCAGTTGGGAACACAAAAGAGCGTGTGGATTAAAGGGTCATCTCGTTTTCTCTCCGTTTTAATTACCAACCGTCTCCTGATCTAACAAAATTTAAATTCCCTCCTCTCAGCTTTTCTTCTTTATCTCCCTCTGTTTTGTTTTGTTTTTTTCTTGCCTTTTTATTTTTTTTTAACCTCATCTCTCTCTCCCTTTCCTTATCAGGTGAGTGCTGATTTCATAAAGAGCGGCGAGTTTACCCTGGAGAGGATGGGAGTGACGTACAAGGCCAAGGCCCACCTCAAATCTCCATTTGATCCTGAGAATAAAAGAGTCAAGGGCATCTATGCTTGAGAAGGACCACAAATGTAAAAACTAAAGCAAGCACAGTCTGGTTGGAGAATGAGAGAGAGAGGTGCAACAGATTTTTTTTTTCTACATGCAGGTGCATCTGGTTTAGTCTTTACCTCTCTGTCAAATACTAGGTATCTCAAATGTTAGTAATTTAATTCGGATTATATCTGTGATTTAATAGAACTGAAGTGCATGTGACGGTGCATATGCTCATTGTAAAATTTAGCCTTTTATGCATGGTCTAAAATCTATATCAAGATTTCAAAGAGGTGCTGAAAATGATTTGTTTTTGTTGTGCTTCAAGGTCTCGGCTCCACATTTTTATGCCCGCCCTGGATTTTGAGAGTAACTGTGTACTCTTGTGAATGCTCGAGTGTGAGTGGTATTAGTATGAAGACAAATTCAAGAAGTAAATCTCTCTTACTATTTCTAGTAATCAAACAAGTCTTAATGAAGAGCTAGCAGCTTGTATAACAGTGATTCACGACCATGGTTCTAGGTGTGCTGGTAATATTTTAAACGAAGATCAGACAGCTGTTGCCTCTGTAACTAAAGCACTGCTAACAGCGCTGAAAGTCACCATTACAGGTGCATGTGTGTTTTTACTCAAAGACGATTCCATAAATTCTCAATTAGTGGCCAGGGCCTCTGTGTAGAAACAGGCTGTTAATAGACTCAGGTCGTTAATTCTGATCTTGTCCTTCAAGCACGGTATAGTTTATAATAATGTAGTGCTGTAATATTTCATTTCTTATTTATCCTATGAGGCCATACACTGCTGTATTGGGGAACACAAGTATTCTCAAACTACACAGCCGCCCCACAGGCAGTTAGAGTCAGATTACAGTGACTGATGTTTGTGCTGATAATAATGACTAAACAGAGTTTTACTTGCTCATGTCGTATCTAAATCTGAGGCAGACAGCCTGAGTGTTTATCAGAGTTGGAGGGAAAGCAAGAAAGAAACACCCCGAGGCACAGTGTAGCAGCCGGGGACAAAACAGTGCTGAAGAAGAGTGACAGAAAAAGACAACAGTTATCAGAAAGCTGCTGTTAACAGATACAACCCCCCTGTTTTCCTGATCCGTCCCCGTATCGCTCTGCTCTGCAGTTTTAATCTGCTGTTGCCGCTGTTTGCAAACTCAATGCTCTTAGTTTTGCTTCGTGTTTTTTTTTTTTTTCTTTGTTAGTTTTTTAACCGATACATTGTTCTTTAATGAGGCTATCTGCTTACAGTTTGTATGCTTAAGAGCTCCCATTTGTCTTGTGTTGTTAAATCAAAGTCAACATTTTGTGCATCTGCTTCACAGTAAAGCAGTTCAGGGGGCATTATCGCCTCTCTTTGTTTTCTATGAGTAACTGTGAAGTTACTGCAGGAAGTGCATTGAAAACAGCCCAAGCCTCATTAATGAATAATTTCAAAACATGAACTTAGTGCTATGGAGTAGCGAGTAATATAGTAGGGCTGTACTGTAGGACTCGTGTAATAATACTGTGGAAAATCTCAAATATGAATTGTGCAGAGTGTCTTTATATTTGGAATTTATTGTGCCTTTTAAGGTTTACTGTATGTGGGGGTGCGTGTGTGTAAATATACATAAAAACTGCTAACAGGTTTGCTAGCTAGGAAGCACGTGGTTTGCATCGATATTTCTGGGGCTGAAATAAGGAAAAAGTGCGACAGCAAATAAAGAAATCACTAGTTTAATAACTTGTTAACTGATTAATGCCTTAAAGGCAGGTGCTGGTATGTGAAGTAATTAAAGATGTTTTGTTAATTCTTTGTTTATAAGTCGACTAAAAAATGTAGTTTCTGTTTAATGACACTTAACATATAATTTGATTATGGATTATATTTTCCACCTATGTTTACATCCACTTGCATGAGCGCGGTTTAGGCCAAACCAAAAACCAAAGCTCATTGCACACACTATGTGACCAGCAGCCAAAAAAAAGTAAAGGAGTAAAGGAGGGCATTCGCGTGCATAACCACTACTTGCCTCTCAGATGTGTGTTGCTGCACGTTCAACACAAAATGTTTACTAATGCGGAATGATTCATTGATTCTGCCCAGAAGGCCATTAATCATTGAAATTGTTGTTCTCAGGAGTAGCTTAGGTTAATAACAAGATTTATATGGGAAATGTGAAACAGGCTGATAAACACTATCACTACTGGTCCTCTACCACAATGAACCCAGAGGTTTTTCCTAATACAGTTTATATAACTTCTCATCTTCCCAGAGTGTGATGTGAATATTGCAAAAAAATTAATGCTTTGGTGACAATAAAAGCAGGTGAAGTGCCAAAAATTATTAATTTCTCATTGCTGAGCTTTTAAATATGGTCCTTTTTTTTTTTTTAAATTGTGCATCCTTGTTATTGTTGTCTAATGTTTTTTCAAACAACAGGAATGATCAGTCAGAGGGAGGACGTAATGACCAGTCAAATCATAAATTTAATGTTAAGCTAGATTCATTTATTCTGTCCAAAGTGATTCATGTATTAATAAAAGCCTTTTTAACTGCCAAAATTTTTGTGACATTTATTATTTAACACAAAAAAATGATGCAAGGACACACAGCGGTATGTAGCCAAAGAGAGTGTAGATTACAGTGGTCAATTACGCTGATAAAAGTTATGAATTAAAATGAGTTTTTTATATATTTGTATATGAATACGACCCAAGTTATTCATTAGTGTTTATTACAGACTACAATTATTCACCAAATAACATAATAATCACATTTTAATAATGGTTTAGTCATTATCAACAGAATCGTGGGGAATAAAACAGAACACAATAAATATGAAGGAGTTGTAAAACCATAATCATTTACTTTTCAAGTAATGCAACAGATGTTAATGGCCAACAGCAAGGCTTCACAACACTTTTGTCCATAGCACCAATTTGCTTTTTGCGCTTATTTTTGTTTGTTGCGTGCCTGTCCCAAATCTTTGCATTGACACTTGACATGTGATTATGACTTTTTATTAACTTGTGTCTGCTAATAATAACACAGACAGTGGGATGTTTATACACACATATAATTTACAGCAGACGTCAAAAAAACAAGATGTCATCTGTCCCCGAACATATAGATGAAACCATGAAACTCTGCCAAGTCACAGGAGCTTCTTTAACTTGCCCCAGGTTAGGTGCTGCCAGGCCTCAGACTGGGGGTGTAAGGGGTTGGCTGGTGGGTACAGCTCCTCCTTCACAGGGGTAGCGAGGCTTTTCAAGCACGGCGGTCACCACTGGTACAGGCTGATTGTCCCACTCTCCCTGGAGAAACAAATGTATATGATGTTTTAGACATGAGATGTGTTGTTGTTGGGTCCTAAAAATGACAAAACAGGTGCTGTCCTTGATATCTAGACAGCACATTTTATTGAGGTAATTACATAGTTGTCACTGAACAATGGATCAAACATTGTGCATCTTCAAAAAATACACTCAAGGACACTTATTCTGTGGTCTTTCTTTTTTTTTTTTTTTTTTATGGTTTTGCCAGTAAATCACTTATTCCATCACACAGTTACACTGACAACAGAATGCAAGCTTGCTTACATTGTGTAGTTTTATTTATGTTCCACTAAACTTTTATTGTAGTGACCTATTGTGTATTTTTTTCTGATTGGTGGCGATGGTGATGCAGATTATCTGCTCATTCAGTGAAAGTGAAAACAGGTCTGCATCATCAGGTCTTGGAGTGACGAGACAGTCGAGTGACGAGACAGTCAAGTGAGGGAGGGAAAGTCAACTTTGTGTACTTTTGTTTGTGTGTGTGCGTGTGTGTGTGTGTGTGTGTGTGTGTGTGTGTGTGCTCATAGCTAATTTTAAATGTCATCACTAGCTAAGAAATCTCATATTGTTGCTTTATTTGTTATTGCATATTCTTTGTGCCTCTCTAGTTCACCCTCTACTTACCTGAGCAGATGGTGGGCTTCAGTTAGATGAGGCTACTGAAGTAAAATGCCATCACCTCTCTGTAGTGAGAGAGTAGGTGGCTGCTTGCTGTGAGGCTGTGGCTTCGGGTTGTTGAATTCAGCTTTAAGTAGTCTTGGTTGAACTTCACAATTTGTTTTGCCTCTTACCTTTGTTGCTTAAACTTCACTTTTTTTGTCTGTCTACAGTTTCTGCATTGCTCATCATCCCTTGCAAAGTTTTCAAGTGCCAAACTAACTACAGCCCTTTATGTGGAGTATTGGAGCAACAAAGACTAAAACTGTGAGAACAGTTACAAGCTGGACTGCTGCATTACTTTGAGTTTATTTCACGCATGATGGATTCCCTCAAAATATCTTGAAAACAGTTGTCTTTAAAATGCCCTCCAGTGGTGGCACCATTAATGGTACGCATTTCAGTTTATTTAAAGGCCACCCACTGATGTTGAGCTTAAAGGCCTTGAAAACCTATTTTCTCAATCAGCTTCTTAGTAAAAATGATAGGGTCTTATCTGTTCTTTTTTCACTGGTTTGGTCATTTAGAAAAAAGGTGATGATCACATTTTTCTGTAAACGAATCTGGATTTAGCAATATTTAATTAAAATGTGATGACAGCTGCTGGAGTGTTTGCTTATGTTGCTAGTTCGCTGTGAATTAAAATGTTTTTTTAAGTGTTACAGTCTTAACAAATAATAGCTGACAATGTTTTTTTCCCCCACAAACTTTACAGGACCTATTTGTAAGTTTTGCTATTGCTACAGAGCCAACGTTAGCATTAACAGCTGTTTACTTAATGTTACAAGTTCAGCATCAAACTTTATTCCTTTACTCACCAAGAGCTGTGTCCAGCAAAGGAAAGCAACCCTCTTGTTTTGCTTCTATTTCTGTCACTTTCTTCTACTGAAGTTAGCATGCTAACCAGCTAGCTAGCTAGCTACTGAGTGACTGTAGCATCAGTCTCATTCAACTACAGGGCATATTATAACTCTTGTCTTGTGAACACTGGGATCTGTGTAACATAGCTGTATTTGTCCTTAGTGTATGTACTTGCATGTACAACTGATGTTACACGTCAAGGAGAAGCTTTTTTCTGTCAAAAATCTTGATCAAGGCCTATACATAGTTTGGAACTGTATTTAATTAATACGCTCTGATCCAAGCATCCTGTGTGTGTGTGTGTGTGTGTGTGTGTGTTTGTGTTTGTATTACAAGTTAAAAAGATGTCTGTTCAGCTTGTCTGACTCCTGTCCAACTGATGTCCGTTTTTGAACTGGTTTAATTGGTGGCTTGGCAGTCTATTGTAGTGTGTGTGTGTGTGTGTGTGTGATTTGGGACTTACAGGAAAGAGGCGTGCACTCGACTGGTTGCAGTGCATGGAGATGGGGGCTGTGTTATACAGGGAGTCCAGCACTTCTCCAGTGAACATGTCCCACTGTAACTGAGAATACTGCTCCGTCACACTAACCTCACCGCACACACACTGATCATTTCCCTGGAACCTGGAGGGAGGATGGGATGGAGTGAGGAGAGGGAGGTTGAAGGAAAGTCGATAAAAGAGAGGAGGCAGAGTGAGATTGAGAAAGGAGGAAGAGATTGGAAAAAAGAAAGAGCAAAGCAAGAAATGGCGTTAGGACGACACAGTTTCACTTTAATAGGACAAAGCATCTGGTTCTTGAGATTAAAAGAAGCAATCACCACTTTGGTCCTTGGGAGCGGAGGATAGAGGGGGAGGGATGAATGCGGAAAAGAAAAATTGCTTAGTCACACGGGAGATGGAGAGGAAGATGCTAAATGAACAAGAGAAAATGAAGGACAAGAGGAACAAGTAAATGATTTTAGAGAGAGGCGGGGGTGGGAGGTGGTGGTGGTGGTGGTGGTGGGGGCAGTGTGTGTGCTACCTGTTAATGAAATTAAAGTATTTCTGCAGGTATCCAGGGTCAACGTGGCTTTTGCAGAGCTCCAGCTGAGTCCGAGGGTAGTAGTGAATGTAGTTGACACACATTTCCTCCATGATACCGAAACCTCCCTGAGGAGACGAGGAGGTTTGGTGTGAGATGGGAAAGGGTGAACGGGAGGGTGGGGTCAGAGGGATTATGAGAATGAAGAAAATACGGTGAGTTTGAAGATGGAGGGAGGAAAGAGGACAAAGAAGGCAATACTCAAGGTTATTCTGTTGTTGACAGTGCTCAAGGTGAATTTATAATATAAAAGCAATATAAAAATAGTTCTGTATATTGATAGTGTTTTGCTCACCACCGTAGGCTTGCTCCTATCTTCTGTGTTATAAGTACACTTTGTTATGAGGACGTCGCCCTGCAGGATCAAGCCGAAACATACCAGCAGTTGTCACCATATTGTAAGATTAAAAAAGAAGCTGAAGATAATTTAAGAAAATTAATTATTTAAAAGAGCCAATGGCCAGTTTGCTGTTAAACAGAATGTTGCTCAGCTGCTACGGTTTTGTCTTGACCGTTCTCTGGGGAATTTCCCATCACGGCACTGATTTCACCGCCTGTCCCTATTTTCACACCATTTAAACACCTTATTCAGCAGCGAAGTGTCTAATTCAATACTCTGAATGCGAAGGGAGGAAAAAAAATCATCTGGGGCCCTACCATTCAGGAGTAGTTGGCTGAGCTTGCAGAATAGTAAAACTTCCATTCTTGTCCTAATGTAAAATCTGCACAGTGGAAAATGAAACCATCAAATAGTCATTGCCTTTCATAGTGTTGTCGACTTTATACTCACGGGTAAAACATTCACCATTTTTCTCAGAACTCGGATCGTCTATAAGAAAGAAGACAGAAACAAATACAGTGTATTAAAAGGAAAATACACCCAACTTTCATTTTCAGGATTCCTGGGTTCTTCTTCACATATATTTGGACATGAAAACACTATACCTGAGGCTGTAACCTGTGAAGTCATGAGAACCTACTGGCAGTGATTTGTTATTCCAGTTTCTCAAAAGTCAGAATGGAGTTCCTTGTTACCTCCAGATATACTGTATTTCTACAACGCATTTCCCTCTCTAGCATCTAAATTGTGTGCATAATTGGACACTTTGTGTAAAATACATTTATTTCAGACACGGCAAGATAAAACACCGGTTGCGCTTGATGCTTTCCTTGGGGGCAGCGTTCATTAGCTGTGTGTGTGAAAAGGCCTATTATCTTTGCTGGGAAAGGTTTGATAAAGTCTTCATATGCCCTAATGAGGCTGCAGGGTTTCAAGCAACAGCACACAGGTACACTCAGATTAGTCTGACATCAACAGCAGCTGGAGATTTTATCAGGCAATCTAGCAGATGTCCCTCTCCTCTGTGTGTGTGTGTGTGCGTGTGCGAGTGCATGCGTGTGTGCGTGCGTGCGCGTGTGCACGTCTTTGCATGTACCTGCCTCAGGATATTGCGGATAAATAAAACACAACAGATGTCAGCTGCCGTCTCTCAACAATGTTAATGTTGTTGTTTGTCAGTTTTGATGTTGATGGACACAAGGGTTTTTGCCTTGTGGTTGGAGATTATACTGTGATCAGGTCTAAATCCAGGATTTGTATGGGCCTCACTATAACTCTATAAAATACAGGCATGTCAGCAAGTTGAAGTCAGGAAAAACTCAGGGAATCCATGGTAGTCTAACTTGGTAAGTGTTCAGTCACAGTCACACAAAAAGGTCATATATATACAAGATTTCAGGCATTTGTTTTATTTAAACTGCTCCCTGCTTTTTTAACCAAAGAGACCAAAGTGAGGTATGTAAGTCAAAGGGAGAAACACGGTGATACAAATATGACAACAAACCCCATGAAAAGACTCCTATCCCGCTGTGCTTCTATCAGCCAAAAACTATTATTAAAAACCCATCAATGAGCCACACTCACGGCTGACATGTTACCTCATTACGATGAACAGGGGCTCTGTAGTTTATTTTGTCCCGCTAGAAGTCCACATGTGTATCAGTCCACCATGGAAAATAGTCCCCAACAAATGCACCAATTACTCCTGTTTGAGTAACATTTGTTAAAAACAACAGCGCCCAGCTGCTGTAGGGAAATCTTAAGCCTTTCTAAGGACTGAAATTAATTAATTATGTCTTTGACAGGAAACAATGGGCACACGTAAATGCCACTCCCTTTGCCCAAGTCATAAATAATATAACACACATTTGTTTGTGACAAGTACACCTCTGACCATCAAGCATTCTCTTGTAATATTCTGCTTATGTAGAGCTAATATACTGTAGATCACCCACTGCAAAAGACTGTAATAAGACTTTATTGTAATGGAAAGGTTTTTATTTTCCATGGTGTGGTAGAAGCAGAAATATCATTCCATGAGGCCAGAGTTAGTTTTCATTTCTCAGTTATTTTTTGAGGATAATCTTTGTCCCAGTGGCGCACAGCTCAGTGTGATGTGAGGTAAAACTCACTTTTATCTGATCTAATACAATAGCCTGTAAGATACAATGCACAAAGTTAGATCTCTGCACTGAGCTCCTCTGGGTAAACCGAGCCCTGCTCACCTGGTAGTGTGTACTGAAGTGCTGGTCCTCCTGTACCACCTCCAGCTCTTTGCCTCCCCTCACCAAAACTGTCCTCACCCCATGCCCTGCCAGGTGGGTGTGCAGCTGGGATGCAAATATATAGATTCCTCCTGAAGGCAAAGCCTACATCGACAAAACAAACGGACAAACAGAGAAACAGAATTTTTTTTTTTTTTTTTAGGTCAAGCTCCAACCCAGACTTTTGCGCTCTAAAGACAAAAAATGTAAAATATGCGGCGCCTAGCTGACATATCCGCCTTGCATTGTTAACATTTGAACCATAAATAATGTGGTAAATGATGGAGATTTTATATACATACAGTCTGGGTACACTTGGAGGTGCAGTACCCGGTGAGGTAGAAGGTTTGTTGTTTGGGTGGGATAGCCATGATAGGAGTATAAACAAGGCCCAACTCCATGATCCCTGCATCGTATCGCCTCAGGCTGGGGGTGTAGTGCAACCGTATCCCTGATGCGTCATGGCGGCCTGCATGTAAATATCAAATATGTAATATACAGTCTGTTTACTAGTAGATCATACAAACACACAGGAGCCAGAATTATTTTTCACTAAACCAGGTTACAGAGTTTATTTTGGGTGCTCTTTGTCTCCTAGAGCAACAAATTTAAGATTTCTGAGGGGAGAATTACAGTAGAAAGAGAGGAGAGGATTATAGGATCACAAAAAAATTTCACAGGTGTAATGAGTTTGTAGTATGTGCTCTCCATCTGCTCCTGGTCAGCACACATTCTGCAACATTTTGAATCATCTGGCATTTATCTTGCATAGACCAGCAAAAACAGCATTACAGTTTTTAAGCCTACTAAGGAAAAAAAAACAAGATGCTAAGAGGTGATTTTTGGGTTTAAAAGTTCAAATCAAGGAGGTGAGCTGGTGGCCTAAAGGTAAGTTAGTGAGACCTTAGCTCCATCTCTGTTCAACCACAGGAAACTTTGAAGGAAGACATAAGAGGATATATAAAATCTTAACAGAAAACAACTCCAAAACCAGAAAGATGTGCTGAGAATTAGAAGATGGTAATGTAGGCGTTAAGCGTATTGTAAGGTCAGATCGGGATAAGAAAAGCAAAGTCTGTAGTGACTTTTACAGGCGAGATCAAAAGGTATATCTGGAAAATTTTAAATGAATCGCTCTGTTGAAGATAAGCCTCGGGCTCCTAGAGCAAGATACAGACAATCCTGCTGCTTCCGCGTGTGTGTGTGTGAGAAAGAGTGATCTGAAGACAGAGTGTATGAGCCTGTGTGCTTAAATATGTACTGTATGTACCAGATATAAGGAGAGGGTTGTGGTAATGGACCTCTAGGCGAAGGAACCTTGAGGATCCTGGTCCACCCATAGGCAGCCCTGCATCAGGAGGATAGTAAAAAGCCTGCAAGCAAACACACACACACACACACACACACACACATATTCACCACACACATGATTCATTATTCCTCTCATTTATGCAGAGCTGCTTTGAAGTTGTAGCAAAGAGTCTTCACATAATTCACAGATGATGTTGAGTAAAAAGCTTTTTTAGATTTAATATCCTCACAATATGCACAGCGTGTGCTTTGTTGTTATGTTCTGATAGGCTTTGTATTAGAGAAGAAGTCGTACATTTCAGAGCGGGGAAGCCACTTATGGACTTTGACAGTGTTATAGTGAAAGGAACCAAAGTGTAATCACAACCTGGGACTTTAAAGGGGCGAGTGTCCAAAGGCAAAACACATTCAAATCTCTCAAATGGTTAGGATGGAGCTTAAGAAAAAACAAAAAGAAAACTTTTTTTTTTTTTTATATCCTTGTTCATTCTCTCATTCTGTTGAAGGCCGACATTGTCAGAGCATGACAAAAAAGGTCACCCTGTGCTAACATGTTCCAGTTAAGTGTTGAAAAGCCATACTCTCTCCTCTCTAAAGTCTTGACAAGTGTTTCTAAAAACTTCCAGAAGAGAAAGTTTCCTTTCACACTCAGTAGGATGTCTTAAAATATCAATTGCAGGCTTCTGCAATCCACTTCAAACCAGTCCTTTTGATGTCCTCTTTAAGATGTGATCTTCTATCAAAGCGATATGTCTAAGAAATCATTATTACATCATGTCTTATTCACCTTCTTGCCCCAACTGCAGAGATAATAAATAGCCTAGCTCTAAAAATAACAAGTTGCCAACTCACGAGCTCCAAACCACCCACAGAATTTTAAATTGTAACAGCAACAGATCGTAAGACTGAAAGGGAGCTTTTAAAACCGATCATGATACAGAAAACTGATCATTAACACATAGTCTTTGCATCGACTGTGTTCCTCATTGTGAACCTTCACATTCTTTAAGATTAAAGTTCATTAAAGTTGAATCTAATCTAATCTAATCTAATCTAATTCTCTCTTCGAGGCCTTTTGGGGGATCTATGAGCAGGCTCAAAAAGCATGTCTATCGATTATTTCTACACCGAGACAGGTTGTATTCTCGCATGGACGCGCCCTCTGGGATGCCGCTTGTGAACTTGTGAGGTATATTTTCTCCCCCCCTCCTCTTTCACGCCTCGGATTCTGAAGTATTCTTCTTATCACAGCAAGAAAATAATTCTCGAGTCACCTCTCGCCCCCTGGGCATCAAACCTCCATGCTGTCATAAAGAAATCTTGATTTAATCCTGATTCATCATCTGTGTCTTCACCTGTTTCTGAGAGAGGCCAACCTTTAGCCACGTCTGCTGATACAGTTCGTAATGGAAGAAAGAAATTGTTTTATTTAATCTTACTCTAATGTGTTATGGTGAAATCCTTAGAGATTTGCTGTCTCCCGCACACATAGACACACATAGACACACACAAACATGTATTTCTTTTCCTCTGGTGCTGCTGTCTCTGACAGTGTGGTACGTTATTGTTTCTTTTTCCTCTTTCAAACTTCCTCTACTCTTTATTTTTCTCTTGCTCCCATGTTTTGTGTTTTTGCAAAGTCACGTTTCCCTTCTGACGCGGTGCCGGGGAGAATGAAACAACACTATTAAGAGGTGATGAAAGAGGCCTGAATATTTCCCACCTAATCTTGTCTTCACAGCTCACAGCTCACAGAAGGCATCCTGCTTGTTTTTGTTTGGCTGGCAGATAATCCAATCAGAGTGGGGCCGTGCTGGCTGTGATACAGTGGGGAGCAGAGCAGAGAAATATGGTGACAGGCTCACGGTTCCCTGTCCTCTCTGCTTTATGTGACTAGCAGGCTGCTTGCTTGCTTGGTCAGCCAGCTGGATGGTAGCCATAGTATGTAAGTTGGGTGATTTAATGCCTGATAGATGACTGACTGAATGACTAGTTGTCTGGCCAGTTCACAAAAAGTAAACAGGTGCCCTTCTGCACTGAACATTTCAGTTGGGAGCCTAAAACTGCAACACACTTGTTTGAAACTGTCCTCCCCTAAAAGGCGACCCCATAGGTCGTCTGTTCAAGGAGCTTATTACGGCCCATAGTTACATTTTATTGTCAGGCGGCTGTAGTACATGACAAGAGCAAAGGAGGAATTCAGATGATGCTGTTGTAGAGTTGTATGTTTATTATGGTAACCGTGACAACGAAGGTCCTCTAACCTTAACAAACTACTTATTTAAGCCCAAAACATAACCAAGTAATTTTTGTGCTGAAAACCAAACCAAACTGTAAACAACCGTAACCACGTGTTTATCATTGTAACTGATGACGATGAATGAGTTGTATCAGCGGGTGGGGGCAAACGATCTAGGAGTGGGAATTGCTAATTAGCTTAGGCTAATAAATGCTGTGTTATGTGGCATTGGTTCATTCTATACTGTATCTTGTCCCTATACAAATAAACATTAAATAAATCAAAATGTTCATACTTTTCCAGTATTCTGTTCAATTAACTGTTCAATTATATAGAATTTTAATTTATAGCCCTCTGTACACTGCAAGGAATAAATGTGTATTGGCCTGTGGTTAAGTTTCAGGTTTAGTTCCTAAGTGTCTGAAAGCTGCAAAAAGAATGCAGCCATAATGAAACATTTTGTGCATTGTTACCCCACCAGTGTGCATGCATATGTGAATTCATTCATGTTCATGTGTGTACTTGAGTGTCCATGTAAGCAAGTTTGTGAATATTTGCCTCCCACACACAGACTGTCTCCGAGCTCTTAATAGACTTGTGCTGCATGTGGGATCCTCTTTGCAAGGTTTTTTGCTCGCAGTTCTAGGCTTGGATATTACTCTTGTAGGAGTTTTTGTTTATCTCTTATAATAGATTCAAGCACAGGACCAAAATCAGGCTTCATTCCAACTCTTGCTTTCAATTAGACACCTGTTATGTTTGTTAAAAAACTTGGGTGTGTGCTCCTCTATTTTTCATGATTTAACTAGTTTGAGCCTTTAATTTTAAATGGAACAGTGAATACAGTCAGTGGAGAGTCCCCACAAAGGTAAAAGTAAGAGGATGTGTGTGGGTGTCTGTTTCCCATCATACCTCAGCACCCATAGCCCATGCAGCTAGCACATGGCGGCAGAAGTTGAGCTTGCCCGGCTTCATCTTGTCATCACAGGAGCCGCTGTACTCTGGAACGTCACGGACATCCGGGGAGCATTCAAACACCTCTATGTGATGCACAATGGCTTCGTTACCTGGAGTTATCACTGACTCATACTGACAGAAACACAGAGAGAGAGGGCGAGAGAGAGAAAAAAAGAAAGAAATAAGTGAAAAAAGAGAAAGATGTTTTTTACCACCAAAACTGGCAGTTTTCCCTCCTCAGACAGATGTGTCGATAAAAATTTGCCATTTAAAATGCCATTGCCATTAAATATCCTATCCTACTGTATGTTTTGTACGGGATCTGTTCACATTTCATCACATTAATGTTCCTCAGTAAAAAATATAAGGATGTGAGGTGACATGTCTGTTATGTGTTTTCCATTTTCTTTGATTTATGTTTTGCCTTTCTAACCATGACAATACAGCCCATGTTGTATTTGGCCCAGCTGGCAAACAAGGAGCAGTAATAGCTGCCTGTGCGGGATCTCCATCTGAAACACCCACTCCACTGTGTGTAAGTAAACTCTATGTTAAGTGTTTCTATATTTAGAGGCATTCACACCATAACAATGTGGCTCTTGGGCATGTTTTCAGGCAGCTTCTGGATGAAGCACCAGTAAGTGGTCTCTTGACTTGGTATGATGACATTTGGTGCCACAACATCCAGCGTCTGCACATCTGGCGGAAGGGTGGGTGACGGCGTGTCAGGGCGCAGCATCAGCACTCTCTGTATCCCTGTGTGGATCCGGGACAGGTTCAGCTGCTCCAGCGAGGCAAGTCGTTGATCCAAGAAGCCATAGATGACGTGCACAGTCCCGTCCTGATCAATCAAAACAATAAGGAAAGAAAGGATTTTAGATGGCTACAAAGAAAGACATAAACAGCAGGGCTGTGTATTATAAATTAATAGTCTCTCATGATTATTATTTGGCTGAAATGACTACTAAGGCAAATAAAGGGAACTTTTCATTATGTTGTCATAGTAATGTTCATTGGTTTTGTGTCTGCAACCTAGCAGTCAAATGTGGTTCCATGGAAACCATAATCACAATAATGAATGCTTCAGTGGGAATTGTGCCAACCATCCCAACTTTCTGAGCATTTTATGTCCACACCTGTAACCGTGAGCTCTCCATGATCAGTCCCATTACTTTTTTTAAACGCACCAAATACAGCGATAAAAACACACACCTTCCCACTCACACATGGGCACTCTCACGCACACACGCAAATACACTATGTCCCTGTTAAAGCTACACACATGCATGCACTCAAGCATCTTTCCCACCATATCCCCATCTTCTTCTCGCCACCTGTTAACTGTCAAGATCAGTCCTTTCCTCACTGACAGACGTTTTTTTTTTTTTCGACTTGAGGCCATATGCGACAAATAAAATAAAATGTGCTTGTCCTTTACATGAGTAGAATAGAGGGGTAACATAAATGCAGAAATCAGTCAACTGTTATTTGCATAGCACCCTTCAAGTGCAGTGCAAAGGTGACTAATAAGACAAAGACAGATTAATAACCAACAAAATGGGAGAACCACCTGATGCCTTAGCCAGTGATGTTAAAATAAAACAAGAGTTACCTCCTTGAAGGATGTCTGGCATCATCTTTAGGATTCTTCAGGTCCAGTGACGTGTTTGCTCCAGCAGTTTACACAGCTCAAGATGAACAAAGTGAATAGCTGTAACATCTATATCAACTGTGTGTCTTTTAGTAGTTAGAATAACTTGTTGCCATTATTTGTTATTTTTTGTAAGCTAATGATGCTAAAAAAATCAAATTAAATCAATAAAAAAGTGGAATTTTTTACGTTAGAAGGCTACGTTTTTTCTGCCGCCAAACGTTATTTGTTGCCGGAAGCAAGTGGTGGTGATTTTGGCTCGACAACAGCTTCGGCCATTGTTGTTTACAATACAAGTGGTTGTAATCGGTTATAATACGCCCTCTGAGCAGTACGACGTCTTCAGCGCAGGTTGGAGGCTACAGAGTTGCTGTCGGGTAGTGACGAGACGAGCAGGGGCTAGCCGGCCAGCGTGCTAACTTCAGTAGAAGAAAAGACATGATAGAGACCAGAGTTAAGATTGGCGTTGCTTTCCACCGCTGGAGACAACGCTTCAAGGAAGGAATGAAGTTTGATGCTGAACTCACAACATTTCTTCTAGACAAGTAAATAAATAGCTGTTAATGCTAATGCTAGCATTGTAGCTATAGCAAAACTTACAAAAAGCTTGAGACAGATGCCCAACAACTCACACATTCTCCTCCCCTGACGTGTACACACACACACACACACACACACACACACACACACAGTGTGAAGCAAAGATTCCACACACCTCAATGAGGTAGTCTCTGGGATCACAGGTACTGAATGGTCTTTTGAAGAGCAGGTAGAATCCATCAGTTTTCTGTTTGGCTTCAATCAACTTATAGTCCTGCTGGCTGTCCAATGAAACGTGACCCTCACTGTCGCTCCAAGCATCCTAAAGAAAAAGACACACAATTTATACACATAATAAACACCAAATAGACACAACCGAGTAGCACATTGTTCTGTTTCATTCATCACATAAAGTGGAATAATATTATTTTTTGGCTTGTCTTGATGTTTTTAAGTGAAAGTTAAGAAAGACGGCTCATTTCCATTATAAAAATAGGTAGATATGGAGAGTGTCGGTGGGTGTAGCAGAGCTGGTTGTGAACCTCATTATTAAACCATTACTGAATAAGTTTCAGGCATTCTGTGTATCCATGCAAAACAGACTGAGAGTAAGTTCAAATATAAATTTTATAATTTTGTATCTAAATAAAAATTATACCATGGTAAAAGAAAAAATGTGACCAGTAGTTTAATTATGCAGAAAAATGTTTGAAGGTGAATGGTTATTGGGAAACAAAGGAGAGCTCTGCACTAGAATGTCACTGATCAAATACATGTCACCAACCAGAACTTAAATAATGTCCCTATTGTTTGTTTATTTTAAAATTAACACAAATTTATACAGTTTTAGCAGTTTGTTTGACAGTGGATTATGATACAGTTAATAGAAAGAAATTAGTGTGGCAGTCCGTGTTGTGAAACCCTCTTAACCAAGTGTAGATGATTCTAATTCTCTGCCAGGAGGCTTTGCAACAGCTCAGTCTATCTGTTTCTGTTATATTTCTCACATTCATATCTGTCCAGAATAGCACCTGAGATCTCTCTCTTTATTTCTGTCTCCCTCTCTGTCCCTCTTATATAACTGTTCTGCACAAACTGCAAACATTTTGAAGCCAACAATTTTGAGAATAAACACAGTATATGTATATGTGTGTGTATATATATATATATATATATATATATATATACACACACACACACACACACACACACACACACACACGCACATCTAAAATAAACATCTAAAATAAACTGTGGGCAGTATGCAGTATGTATTATGTGTGTTACATGCCTGTGTGGAGAATACACTTGGTAGACCTCAGCAGAGTCTTATTGTGACTATTTGATTTAAAAAAAAAAGTTGTAACAAGTTCTTCTTTTCTGAACATGGAAGGATAGTAACACAAAGAGGGAATTTCTTAGTGAAAGATTCCCACTTGATTTGTCTAAGTAAAGATTCTGAAGCCTCATTTTCAGCTAAAATATAGGATGTATTTTTACACAACACATGGACCATGAACTTTGTCCCCATCTCTTACTTTAGTAGGGACAATTATTGTGACCTAAAACAGCTTCAGTCTACATATCTGCATGTGATTATTGTTTTGAGATAGACCTGAAAAAACCTGCACCATCTTAATATTTTTTGTATTTGTGGTATTTGTTCCCTAGAAATGATCAGAATGTCTCATGTTTTACTTTAGTTTCTATTGAGTATCTCTAGAAATATTGTACAGTATATATCCATGAATGTGTTCACAACTAGAGAACAAAGAGAGAAAAAAAAAGTGTGCGTGTGTGTGTGTGTGTGTGTGTGTGTGTCTACGCGTGTGCGTGCGTGTGTGTGTTCACGTTTGAGAGAGAGAGAGAGAGAGGACTGTAGCACAGCAGTGACCTTTCTTCTGCTGGAAATTTGGCCCTCCTGAGGGAAGAGAAACAGATGGAACAAGGGGAGAAGGAGAATCGGATAGCATGGGCGAGATCAATTTAACAAGAAAATACTTTACAATGATATGAGTGTTACATTATGTTGGTTAGAATTTTAACAGCAGGAATGTGCTACACTGGGATTTGGGTAACTGAAGGGAAACAAGCCTGAAATTGATAAGAGATGAATGCAAAGGTCAAAGCTACTGTTCATATTAATGTATAGCATGATATCCTCCCTTCTGCAGGGTTTTTGCTCATAAAAATATGTGCATCAAATTTAGTTATTTTCTTATGAAGCACTAAAATGCACAAACTGCAAACAAATCATTTGCCCAAATTCAAAAATATCCTTTTTTCATCATATTAATTGTCTATGAGGATTGATCCCAGAGGTAGTTTCTTTCCTCACTGATCTAACCTGTCAGTGAGAAACAGCCCTAGTGTGTGAGTGTGTTTGTGTCTGGGGCCTCTGGAGTCCAGCTTGCTCCCTCCGACCTCAGATTGAATCACAGCAGAGATTTCTTTCCTGTGTTTTATCTCTGCTGAATAAGTCAATAAAGCTTGCACTGCCCATTCTGCCCAGTTTTTCTTTTAAAAAAAATGCCTTTTCTATCCCAAGGCTGTCAGTCAGCATTAAAGGAAATAGTAATGCAATTTATACTGTTTATTCTGTGAACTCCATTACCCATTACCATGGTGACAGATCTGCTACAGGAAGCCAGGAAGACATGATGTCTTTCTCAATAACTAGACATTGCAAAATAAACAAATGGTAATAGCTGATTGAAATTAAGGTAATACTTTTCAGTAGAGGAGATAGGCAACAGCAACTTGCATCTAAATTGAGAGTCTGCCCTTTTCTCATAAATATGTGTGTAGTACCTGCAAATATGAAATAAGTGGAAATTCTCTGCTTTTTTATGTTTTTTCTGATGAAAACAACTAAATATGTATGAGACACTTCAGCAGAGCTCAAACATAATGGAAATAAGATTTAAAAAAGATCCACCAGTGGAACTGTTACAGAGTCTGAATGCAGCCTTTTAATATCAATCCCTTATAACTTTTAATCTCTAACTATTTTTTTCCTGTGGGCCTTGCAGTAGACTTATAGAGGAATTTAGTTTGTGGTGTAATGTTCTTTAATAATGTTCAATGTAATGATGGAAATAATTGCAATAATGTTAAATTTATATATTGACTAAGTTTAAAATGTCCTTATTTGTAGGTATTGATGAGGGGGTTACTTAACACTGAGTGCATTGCCTCAAGCTGTGAGCTCTGCATTGTGAAGTAATTTGCCTTAGGAAAAAAAAAGATATTGATGTTATACACAATATTGCATTAGAGAAGACGTTGGACTAAAGAAGTATGTCCCTGTGCTTTATTCAACTCATAGCCTGACATTTAACTTATCCTTCTCTCTGAACTGTAGCAGGCAGGTCATTGTGGTGAAATAAAACACCCTAAGAAGCAAATAGGTTAATTCCTTATTTGTTAATGGCTTTCTCCAGGGTTGTGTAGATTATTCTAACTTGAAGCTAATCCTGTAGAAACCGGTTCCTAAAGGTACCAATGTCTTTCATCTCATTTATATACCAACTTTTCCCAATCAATCATATGTTGGTGGATACAGTCTCAGGTTTTATATTAAGAATATAACACCCGGACAAAGAAGATAGACAAGGTTTTCCCAGAGACGAAGAATCGGAATTACTACTGGATAATTTTTTAACTGCAGGGAATTAGTATTCACTCTGCTTACTGTTTCTCATTAATATTTCCACAGAAACTCTATTAGGATATTAAAACAATGGACAGAAATACAAATGAAAAGGAAGGTAAATGGGATTTTAATAGCAAGATAAATGTCTTTTTTTCCAGAAAAGGAAAAAAAATCAACAATTTTCAGAAAAAGAAATCAGAGTTGGATTGTTAAAAAGGCATTTGTGGCATAATGAAAATTAAGCATTTTACACATCTTAATCAGCACAGGATTCAATTTTGATATGCTAATATCTGCTAATGATTCCCTGATGAACTTTAGCTATTAGTGCAGTTTGAGTGATTTCCAATTAGCAGGGGCCGATAACATCCTTTGTGACTGTGTGATCATGAAGCAAGCCGTCCGCTGGCTCCTTGTGCAAAAACACCAATCTCACGCCCCGGGGACCACAGACAGATGAGGAACATAAGAAAGAGGGAAACCTCCACTCTTTAAAGACTTTCATGTAATTCCTGTGCAGTTATGAATTTGACAGGTGAACATAGAGAAAAAATTTTAAGACAGTGAGACTTTTTTATTCCTTCTGTTTAGAGATCTGCTTGACATCCATATATTTTTAGAGGTACGCCTTGTGTCAGTCAGGACTTTTATAAATTCAAAACAAATTCTTTAAAGTCTAGTCAGTTGAAAGACAAATTATACAGATAACACACATCCCATCCTTGCTTACCCCAAAGTAGCTCTTAGTCCCAGAGTCCCACAGCACCACCAGGTCAGCGTTGGTGAGCTCCCCGCGGTCAGACATCCCCAAGACCACGCCGTATCTGATCTGAGCAACCTTCAATGCCATGTAAATCTCCTGGTTGGCGTAGCTGATGTTCCAGGCCAGCTGGAGCTCCCCCCGTGGGTCAAGGGGCACACGGAAGGGCATGGGGAGAGGCGGGAGAGGGCTAGAGGGGGTTGATTTAAGGCTGGACACGTCGACAGCATTGGTGGGTGCCTGGTACGAAGCCACCAAGATGACCATCAGAGCAGCCAGGGCAGTGAAGTACAGAACGGTGACGTCCTGAAGGCGAATGTTCCTATTGAAGATCCTCATAATCCCAATGACAGATCTCAATCAGCTTCAGAGTAGTGCTGGACAAATTCTCTTTTTTATCTTCACTTGTTTTGAGTTGGTTTAGAGTTAAGTCCAAAAAGTTTTTCTCACGGTGCTGTAGTTCTGTATAAGCTGCAACTCTACAAACTCAACGGTGTCGTTTGCCAGTGTTTGTCAGCTCCCCTCTCCTTTTTGGCCACAGTAGATTCAGTATCTCCCTTGCAGTGATCAGGTGAGGTTGTTTATTCTTTTTCTCCCCGTTTTTTCTATCCTCTCAGGCCCTCATTTTCTGAAAAGTTTGACTTTCTTTTGTATCACTAACTTTACAGTCTTTAGGTTTCTCTATTTCCAAACCCTTGTGGGTATTGTCTCTCTCCTCTGAGCAACTGCTCCGTCTCTCTCTCAGCCTTATCCCCCCCAACTGGCTTTTAAAAGACTCCTCCCTTCTGAGTTGTCTGTTTTTATCCAGCCTAATGGTATTACATTTGTTGAGGAAAATTGGATTGTATTCTTTAAGCCCTGGGGTCAACCATGATTCTGCACATCTGCCAGCCCCTAATTGATCCAAATTCAACCATGGACATTATCACAATCAGTTTCGACTAACTAAACTTTATTGTTTGCTCCATCTCTGTCTTTTTTTGCTTTGGTTCACATGCATCATACAGTTCCTTGTACATTTCCTGACAAGAAGTATTCCAAGCACTATGCTTCTAACCTGGCTTTTTGGGTATTTGATTCAAAGCAGACTTAAGGGGCTGCAAGCTCTTGTGGAGGTGTAAACAAGGCATTAATGCATTAGGCCCTTTCCTTAAGCCACCGCCTAAGGCTGCAGAAGACCTAATCAAACTGTCAATTATGGGTTTCAAAAGCAAGAGGGACACATTCAGGTTGGTTTAAAAGGTTAGCACAGCCCTGGTGGAAATGTGTGTGTGTGTGTGTGTTTGTGTCTGTCTGTGTGTTTGCAATCAGTGAAAAACAGGTAAGCGAACAAAATGGATTTGGGACAGATATCCAAAGAGAAATGAAATGCTGCTCTTTGGCCTTTCCCCACCGTCTACACACATTTGAGAATTAATCAAAGTTTGGTAGGGAATGCAGAGGGATTGTCAGGGGGGCATGGTTCTGTGTCAGCCTTGTTCAATAGCAGCTATTTTTAGTTTTGTTTTGATATGCTGGGATAGTGGAGAAATATGTCAGTAAAAAATGAAGCTGGAGCCAGGTCTCCGTGCTAAACTTAGTTTAGCATGGTCATTTCTGTTTCCGCAAGTCACCATCTTGTTGTGAGTTAGAACGAATAGTCCTGCATGTATCCCTCTGAAAAAATTCCGTTTGTTGTCATATTTCATTTTTTTGTACAGATTAAGCAAACAAAGTGTTACATGTTAATTAGTGAGCTTTAGAGCTCCTGGTAGCTGAATTTTGCTGTTAGCTGTTTCCACCTGTTTCCACTCTTTATGCTAAGCTAAGCTAACCCTTATCCTGGCTGTAGCCTTTATTTACTGAACAGATATGTGAGTGGTATCAATCTTCTCATGTAACTTCCGGCAGAGACAACAAATAAGCATATGTTCCAAAATATCAAACTATTCCTTTTAAGGCACTGCACACCCACAGCTCTGTTTTCCATTACTCTAACTATTCTGTGTATACCTCTAACTTGAAGACACCAAATTGTATGAACTAATAACGATAATAAGTAGAAAACACTGCAAATTGCGAGGGAGCTGTCAATCAAGCAGTCTGTTCCCACACAGTCTCTCAGCTGGCTTCCCTCAGCTGGGAATGTAAACCGTTTTTGCCCTCTAAGATATGGTCACATTACATTTCCAGTATGTGAACACTTGCTCCATTCACTGCTATTGAAACCAGAACGGCAGACATTTCGGCACCGGCGGATACACAGATCAGAGTTCACCGAGTGGATGTGCTTGGTCAGCCAACAGAAACACACAGATGGAGAAGGTATTATTCAAGTTTGTTTAATCACCATATTTAGTGTGATGTCACACAACCAGACTACAAAGTCACATTGCTCTCACACACTGTTTATAGTCTTTTATGCTCTGAGCAATATTTACCTACAGTATTACCTGCATCAGAAACATGGCGTCATGTCCTTTTTGGGGGTCAATTGTTAAACAGTAAAGTGACTGAACTTTGGGTTGAATTTTAATATGATGGAGGGGGGGGGGGCAGAGTCACCTTGACAGCAATTTCCAAACCAGAAGAGGACATCAAGTTTAGTTTTGTTCCCAATAACAGAGTTTTTATCTGCATTGCTGACAACATGCTAGTGATAAATTCTCCATAAACAGTGTGTCCGATATAAAAATGTTTATTTCTATACTGTTGCACGTCTCAAAACTAATATATATAATATAGAGTGCTTTACATAAAGCGGACCAAACTAAATACAGGGGTAGAGTCAACAAAGCAGAATGAAGTCATCGTAATATAAAAATCTAATATGTATAATCACTACGGGGAGCCAACACGCTGCAGGTTTAATTACAGCTGATCGTCTCTGCAGGTGACTTCACTGATGAGTTCTTCTCCTTTACCTGAATGGGTGCTAATCAGCTGTTGGAGTCTTCAGTTGGAATGAAAACCTGCAGACTGTTGGCCCGCCACCACCCACCCGTCGGTAAAGAAGGTAACGACATGAAGCATGTACATACAAAAAAAGAAATGATAGATCAATCTGTACACATGAGATGTACAAAGATAAAGATGGTAACGATGGTGATTTGAGTCGACTTAACCCCATGCTGCAGAGATGTGCAGGTGTACTTCAGAAACACTTGGTTAAGTGTGGCTCCAGGTCCAATTAAGTACACTTCTGACCACATCCATCATCCAATTTATAGGAAGTGCCACCTCATTTGTACATTAGTTCTGCACGTCCCTTTTCATGTGGATGATTCAGTGAAGTTCAAGGAAAGCTCATCATTAAACAAGCTGCAGGGTGAATGCAAATTCTCTGTGTGTTGGATTCAATTTTGTACATGACGTCAAACCGCTGAATCTTTTTTCCGGAAGAGGTTCATAAAGAGAAAGGTTTGGATTTGAGCAGAAAACAGAGAGGGAGCAGAGCAGAAAGTCATGGACTGGTATCGTGTTGGTTAATGTAATAAAGACTCCCTGAGGCAAACAGAGATCTGCGTGTCCTTCTAATGTCTCTGGCAATCACGTGAGGCTCTGTAATCTCGTCTCTCTCTATGTGTCTCTGTATCTGTACAACAATTGTTTCTTTTTATCTTTTACACCATCACATTTCTGCCTCTTTATAAGTCTGTCTACCCCCTGTCACACTGCTCTCTGTTGCTGCTGATCACCCGCTCTCTCACTCACTCTCTTCCTGCCTTCTCATTTCTCTTACATGCACACTTATCTTTCCGCTGCTGTTCCTGATGTGTCAGCAAACACAAACGAGACGAGACGCTGTAAAGTCGGCGGTGATCCGGAGGGAAGGAAAGAGAGAGAGAGAGAAAGAGAGAGAAGTGGGTAGCATGGGGGATGGGTGTGGAAGAACAGATTTAAGGAGAGAATGATGGGCCTTTGTGTAATCATGTCTGTGGGTGTGTTTATGCAAGAAGCCTGGGGGTGTATGTGACATTATCCTGTCTAGAACAAGCCACATATTGCCCCCAAAACTTCATCACCATGCATTGCTTTCAGTTTGGGACAAGCATATGCATGGACACAGTAGTTAGGAATTTGTGCTCCAGATGATCCATAGTTTATCAGCACTGTGTTCTGTGATGTCTGGATTAACCTGATAGGAGACCCAAGGGCTAAAATTTCCAGCCAGGTCCCTACTGAAGTCTGAACCCTCACCTCCTGCCCTCTGTGTATGTACCCTGTTACATTTACATTCAGTTAAGTAAGCAGACTATATATGACAGAGTCATTATATGAGCAGAGATACAGAGACCACCCATTATTCCTGCAGAAATAGAAGTACCCCAGTTAGTTTGCATGATTTGATTAAACAATTTTATTTATAAATGTGCACCATTGTTATAGTCTAGATTTCAAGTCGCACGAGCCATATAATGCCACATTTCCAACCTGCTTTCTACATTGTTTTCCAGTGTTTGAGGATTGACTGGAGCTCTTCTAATTACATCATCTTGTTGCACCATCTTCTTCTGCAGTGGTTCAGTGGCACCAGACTGAAGCATTAGCCCCACCAACTGTTGATAAACCAGCTCCTCATATTTGATAACAGCATTCATTTGCTCTTTTTGTCAGTTTTATGGAATTTTGGTTAAATTTTGCATTACATTTGAAATGGAAAACCTGAATATATTTGGTTAAAATACAGGATCTGTCTTAGTTGATGTTGTACTTAAATGGGCCTATGAACAGCAGCCACTGTGGCTACAACTTATAATGACAGGATAATAGTAGTCACCGTGGCCTACTGGTTATATCAGACTAAATAAAAGCTGTAACAACAAAACCCCAGAGTGTATTGAAGTGAAAAAGGATGTGTTTTATTGCCTACGAATTCACAAAAACTGTTTTATTTTTATTCTTTCTAAAGTTGCATAGTCTCACTTTATAGTCAGTGGTTCAAAGTCCTCACAACTTTGCAAATACTCAAATAAACTAAACCAACTGGCATGCAGTGAACCAAGGTTGTAGGGGTTTGGGGCTGCAAGGCAGTGCCCACTTTGCCTGTTTGGTAATCTAGCTTTGGCAAAATGATTGTACTCAACTGCAATAAATTGGTGTTGATATAATGTCTGTTCATTGATCATAGAGTAAAATCTTAATTTAATGTTATTGAATCTTATTTCATTTTGAGCAAAAATAAACAAAAGCTGTGAACATGAGGAGAGCTAAATCTCAGCCACTCTGACATACCTCATACATACACATTGCACATGTGCACAAACACAGAGAGAGAGAGGAGTGAATAAAAGCAGACCTGACCGCGACATGACCAATCCAACCATCTCATTCTCTCCTAATATAAATATTTCAACGCCACACACTCTCAAAGTGCCCTAATCTCCACTTCTGTGAGTTTGAATAATGAATGCAATAAAAACTCACACTGCTACTCTTAGCGTTGCCTCAAACCGACCCCTCGTCTGATCTGAATGGGAGAGGCGAGCAGTTGTAAGGGTAGACTGGGTAATTAGAGGAGACGATGAGTGAAGAACTTGGAGAGAGGAGGAAAGAGAGAGAGACAGACAGAGAGGAAGTAAAAACAAGTGGTGAAACAGTGCAGGTTCGGAGGCTGACAAGAGAAAGAGCACTGTGGCATAAAGAGACACAAGGAGCACATGGATCACATCACAGAGGGTAACAAGTTGGAAAACAGACATTCACATCCATGGGTGAATTCCTAATATGTCTTGTAGTCAGGAGGCAGAGTGACAGGGGCAGAGTGAAGGGACAGAAGACAGAAGGAGGTACGAAGAGAGAAAAATGATCCTACTGGAGACAGATGTGTGCGTTGTCCTAATGGAATTTAATGGACGTTTTGTCCCAGACAGAGGGCCAGTTTGTTTTTCCACCTTGGCTGAACCTTGGGCAGAGGACAGGTGTAATTCTTTTAATTATCTTTATAGAGTTGGCTGTCACATATGCATATAGCTTGGCTGATTAACTGCTGTGTAAGTGGGAAGTTTAATGAATCCACTCTAAATGCTACAGCCGCTTGTGGGTTTCCAGCGTATTAGGAGGACATGGTGAAGGGTGACTTTCAGGTTTCGGCTACAGTAAGCTCTGTGATGGTTGTTGGTGACATTTGCAGAGTTTGTCTAAGGACAAGCGTGCGCGCACACACACACACACACACACACACACACACACACACACCCTCTCTCTGCCTCTTAACTCCACTGCCCATGCACAGTTTCTGTTAATTCTACAGACTGGTAGGCTATGACTATTTATATGCAGTGCACATGTGTATTTGCACATCTGTGTAGCTTATAAGCACTTTTTTTTTTTTTTTTACATAATTAAGTTTTCTAACCACATCCTCATCCAGCATATTTTTTCCCATTCCCTCCTCTCTCTTGTCTGCTCTCACTCTAGCACCCATAGCCAATCTGGGTCTGTGACAAAAGCGCCATCTCCCAGGCTGCACGCTCCAGGCTGCATTTACTCACTGGGTCTGCAGGCACTAAGAGCCACCTCTGGATTTAAAGCGCATTTGACTCGTCTCCGCGCAGAGCCGGACGTCTCTCTGCAGGAATCAGCAATTATACAGAGGTCCAACATCCGTGCATCAAATATAGCCTGTGGTAGCCTTTATTTTGTGGGGGGTGTGGGGCTTGCCAGCTGGAGACACTTTGTAGCCCGACAGAACGACTGACCAGCTTGCTTTCCGCCAAACATGGGATGCAATGAGAGGAGGATGCAGGAGAGGGAGGAGATAGATTAAGTAGGCTGATAGAGAGAATAGAAAAAGGAAGCGTGCAGGAAAAAAAAAAATCCCCATCGTAGATTGGCCGCGGAACCAGGACCAGGACCAGCAACTGCAAACAAACATCTGACCTCGACCTCCTCGGACGGTGGGAAAACTGGTTGTTGAAATGGAGATGTCGAGATTTTCTATCATCCCGTCTCCTCCTCCTCCTCTTCCTCCTCCTCCTCGTCCAACACACACGCTGCCGAGGCTGATGATGATGATGGTGATGATGATGATGATGATGTTTGCGTAGGAGTGTTTTATTTTGCGGACAGTGTTGGTTAACCAGTCTCTACTGTTCAAACAACTCCAGACAAGCGGTGGATGGAACTGTGTGTGTGTGTGCGGCTGGCTGCCTGCTCCAAACACATCTTCCAGAGATATCACCATTATTATTAGTGTTCGTTATCATTATTGTTGCTGGAGCCTCATTTGGAGTAATTTTTTTTTCTCTTTCTGCGAGTCTGGAATTGGACAGAAAATGTTTTGCATGCGGATGACAAGAATGTGTTGGGAAAAGTAGTCCAGAAACAAAAAATATCAACGTGGACATTTTTGCAAAAGGACGCATGTGCTGTTTTTCTTTTCATTCTTTTTCTTGTTAGTTAATAACTAAAGAGGATCAGGCTCTGGGGAGTTTATTATTTTGAGCCCCCTCTCTCTACTTCCATGTAGCGCGCACCCCTGCCTTCTGCTGATTACTTTACCGACACTGGGGACTTTTCATTGTCGTTGGTGTCATTATTCAGTGACTGAGGTCGACACCAGCCAAAACCAGCAGAGGTCGGGACCTGAGCTCCGAGGAGCCACCACTACCTTAGATGTGACCCGGCGAATTCCTCTTATCTCTGAAGGTAATCATTCCTCACCCTTATAAAAAATAAGGTTGGCGTACTGCTCCATTTACTCATCATTATGTTGTATTTTTTATTAAACGGAGGCTATAGGCTATTGGTTTTAATGGCAGTAAAATAGATGCGTCTGCTTGTCAAGTCATGCTGTGGCGAGCGTTAGAATTGAGAAGTTGGCTGCTTGTTAGAAAACAGATATGATACAATAGATAGATAGATAGATAGATAGAAATTCTCCGATTTCAGCACCATGGACAGATCCACACTTGTATCATTGCAGGAGGAATCTGCTTTTCTTCCCCCTATTTCACCCAGAACATGTATAATTGATGATAGTCCATATACCCAACATTCATACATGTAACAGAGTGTGTCTCCAGAAGCCTTAACTAAAACATGGTCAAAATACAGTAGTGGATGGGCAGGCTGAATTATAGAAACAGGCAGAAGGATAGATGAGGAAGAGATGGGCAAAGGTGAGGGAGAGGTTCAGTGCTTTTGTATGACAGACTTGCTGGCTGGTCGGCTTGCCACATGCTGGCAAAACAGCATGGCTTGTGAGCCACAGCTACTGTCACCAACTGTTAGCCATGGTCACATCCAAACGATTCACTCCAGATATTTTTAGGCAGGGTGGAAATGCATCTCGGGCGGCATTAAGGCCGTGGAATATGAAAAACATTCCACTGAATGCGGTTTAAATGGCAAAAATATTTAAGGCAAGGAACGCGCAGGATGCCAACCCTCGCCTCTGTTGGGTGTTTTGGAAACACTGGTGGATGAAGTAATAGCTAACTAGCTGAAAAATGAACCCAAAAGTGTAGCCAGGAAGATTACATTGTCATAAAAATGACTGGGAATAGTTATGTTATAAACCTTCCTTCTTTCTAGCATTTTTGGTATAGTGGAGGAGTGAACCTAAAAGTGTTGGCAAAACCTGAATGTTTGCTACTAAATGCACTATTCCCCACTGCCCAGCCTGGAAAATAAGTGCTTTGAAAGTATCAAAGTAATACAGCATCCCTACCTGTTAGCGTATCAAAACTACATTGTGCTGTTTGACAGTCCAAATTTCAACCTCAGCTAAGGCTCTATTGTATGCTTAAACTACCCAAGAAGGAGTAATCATTCAGCTCTACTGTGTTTGTCACAGTGATTTGGCGTTTTGATTCTCATATGTAAATGTCTCGCCTCTTCCTCGTGCACATAGAAGTTTGAAATAAAATCTTACTACATCCCCCAAATCATTGTCACCATGTACAGATGGGCAACAATCTTGGGAAGAAAAAATACAGATTAAATGATGAGGGACAAATATTCAGGGCATGAAAGGTCACTGACTGTATAGTCATTGTATCTCAACCTAACTACACACCTGTGGGATATTTTGGATCTCTCCGCAGTCATTATCAAAACACCAAGTGAGGGAATATCTTTTGGAAGGATGGTGTTCATCTCTCCAGCTGAGTGACAGAAAGGCCCAGCGCTATTCTAAGAAGCTTAATCAAGGTTTTTCCTTCAATTTGCCAGAGGGGAAGAGGACTGACTGTACTTAGATTGATACCTAGGAGTCCTCTGCTGTATATGCTGTTCATTGAGCTACAGTGAATTCAATTATGATGTCAGTGCTGTTATCATATCATACCATAATACCTAGTCTAAGACAGACCTAAAGATAGGACAGGGAATGACAACAGCGACTAAATTCGTGTTGTGGTCTGTCTAGAAAATAAATACACACTCACACAAACACATACACTGTGAGGGCCTACAACAATGAAAGACAAGGAGGAGCTTGTGTTCCCATGGCGACTTCCTCAGTGACCCTTGTAACAACCTTGGCCCCCTGGGAGATCAGTCATACTCCTGCATGCACACACACACACACACACACAAACACACACTCAAGTCCCCCTCGCAGCGTGACTATGAGTGACTGTGTGTTACTTGTCTGCTAACTGCTGCTGCTGCTGCTGCTGCTCTACCAGCCTCTCAAGTCATTACAGTAGGAGAGAGAAGAGGAGGAGAGAGAGGGAGTTGAAGGACAAGCAGATGAGTAGGATGGAAAAGCAAATCTCAAAGACAGATGGGTGATGAAAAAAGATGGAGAAAGGTGTGGAGAGAGGAACGCATATAAAACAGGGAGAGAGGGATGGAGGAGAGGAGGATGGTTTAAACACTGGTAGAATAGTCAAGAGTGAATACAATTACAGAGGCAGCATATCCACTTCTCTTTTTTTTCGGGGGATTGAAAGTGTACTCACCCATCAGCTTAATTACCTTTAAAATGCACTATTGGGAGGGTAAATTATGATAAATCCGCTGTGGTCGAGATAAAGAGGAGAGAGGAGAGGTGGAGTGGATGGATTGAGACTGGGGGAAGGGAATATGGCTGCTCAGTGATCATGTTAAACAGTCACCACCCGTTCCTCCCTTCCTCCACCCGTCTCTCCTCCCCTCCCCCTCGGCACCACGCTCTCCTCTCCCCTCACATCTACACCCTGACATGCTCACACATCACGCTCATGCACAGACAACAATATGACCAGCACACATGTGCACGCAAGTCGTTTGGTCAGTTGGCCTCATCCCAGTGAGTGATTGTAAAAAACTGAAGCTCATTCCAAGGAGTAGAGGGGAGGCGAGGGAGGCGGGGGAGGAGAACAGGAAGAGGCTGAGGAGAAACAGCAACAGAAGAAAAGCTGCTGTTCCTCTCTGTGTGTCCTTCCTGAATGAATTTTCATTCACATGTGGTATGAATAGTGCCGATAATTGCATTAGTTATATGGTAAACAGAAGCCTTCATTTTCTGTGTAATTAAAGTAAAATTCAGTTTTTTTTCTCTCAGTAAAGGTCATTTTTTCAGTAGTTTTGGCCTTCATTCCTGCAGTTATTAACAGTTTTACTCAACAACTTAATTGCTGTGATTTGAAGGCAGAATGACATCACTAGACTCACTTCACAATTATGCTGCATTCATGTCATAGCGTTCAAACCATAATTACTAGCATCCACGTGAAGCTTCCGACTTGTAATTGTAGATTGTAGATTGTAAATTGTAATTGTAATTGGCAGAATGGCTAGCAGTTGCATCAAAATGAAATTCAGTATTATCACTAATACAATCGATTTAGCTAATTTCACAGGACTTATATTTGGTAACAAACTGCTAAGACAACAGAAGTAGCTAGTTTAGGCTGTTTATTTGGTGTGACCACAAGGTTAACGCTAACCACCTTGGGATAATGCCTGAACACACCCAAGTTGGAATTAAGGGGTGTTTTGTTTGATGTTCCAATTCTGTGGACAACGCCTGAACGTGGCAAAATGAGCAGTCAGATCACCAGACAAGTTGTAAACAAACCTCAAGTTAATTAAGTTAAATAAAACATGTAAGTACACACAACGCTAACATACCCGGTTAAATAGGGAAGAGCAAGTAGTTCTGAGAAGTAGTTCTGTAAAAAATAACATTTTACAATAGACAGTGTGGGATTTACCCGTTTTAACTTCTAAATAAAAACTGAGGATCTCCTTATGACCTGATCACTGCTATTTGTCCAATTGGACTCTGTTGTTGCTATCTCCCCAGATCTGAGCTGGTTAAAATATTCTAAATCAGTAGGAAGGATAGCTGAGGCTATGAAGATAAAACCTATGTTGTGAAAATGTATAATTTTCCTTTAAGCTTTGCACAGCTAACATGTCTGTCTACAGCCTGCAGCATGCTGCATATATCACACACTAAATATAAAGGCAGATGGCATATAGCTGAGACTAAACATACAAATTACGTCTGTGAGTGTAACCTATTTCAAAGACGCTTAGGGGCTTTTACATTACAAACTTTATGGTCCAAAGCCTTTTTTTCAAAGCCTACATGCTCAGTGTAGGATTGACAAATCTGAGCCTGAAAAGTTGCAAACGTCAACACGGTCCTTTTGGAAAGTGATGAAGCAAAAAGAATTTAAGAACACGATAGCTCAGCAAGGTCGTGACGTACTCTGCGAACAAGAGCAAGCGCGCGCGCTTGAGATGTGAGATCCTCATTCATAAATTCCACTCTTTTGCGATGTGTCTAATCTTATTATGCATCTCTGCAATTCTGCCTGACTGCACTGAGCCTCAGTTTTATCAGCTTAGAGATTAGCATACAGTGAGTGAGCTGAGAAAAGTTTGCTCAAGTACAATCAGACCAGAACTTATAAGCATAAACCACCCACTCAAACAACAGAAAAGGCAATGGTAAAATGTCAGTCTGTAATAGCCCGGTCACCATGGTAACTGAAGACCTGTTTGTACTTTTACACACACTGCCTCTTGAGCACTGACCATTAGCACAAACAACCAAGCAACCATCAGCCTTGAGCTTTTAACACATTACCTTCAATTATCTCCACATTTCATAAAAGACATATATACATCCAACCTCTCAAAGGTGCCCTCTGCTGCCTCTTCTTCTTCTTCTGTTCATCACTTATTTCCACATTTTCCTCTCCCTTCTTTCCATGTCTTCTCTTGCCCTCTGCTTTTCTCCCCCTGCCGACTACCGCTAATCTCCTTCATGCTATTTCTTTCCGCCTTGGTCATCTCCCCAGCCTTACCCACTTCCTTTCTTATTCTCCAAACTGTCATCATATGTCTGCTGTTGCTCCTGCATGAACCTTTTGACCTTTCAAGGCAAATGCAAACAGTTAACCGTCAAGCGCAATATTGGAAATATCCTGCATCTGACGTTTCAGCATCTCTTTCTTTCTCTGACTCTCTCTTCCTGTCACTCACTATACGCTCATGGACGCATAAAATTTGTCTAACAAGGATCTTTTTCCTGTAATGACGCCACATACACAGAGATGTGAGCAGTACATTCTTTCTGTATGTTACACACAGGTATGCATGTTACATGTGCCTACCTGTGTGTGTGTGTGTGTGTGTGTGTGTGTGTGTGTGTGTGTGTCAGATAAGACCAAGACATATTCTGAGATAAAGGCATGTACATAAAG